CCGGCAACGCAAGGTCCCTGCCTCCTTGCAGCCCAGTGTCCTTGGGGCATCTCCTGATTGCTGTCCCCTTGGTATGAATGGCACTTTCTGCCCCCAAGGACAAGACGTGCCCAGAGAGTTGCTGCCCCTTTGCTTATGTGCATGTTGCCATTCAGGCCCAGCACAGACCTCACCCGGAGCGTGCTGGGGTGGCAGGTCTCCCACTCGGCCTGCCAGCAGCACGCATGCCCCTGACCCATTGCCTCCCGGTCTCCCTGCTCCCCTGTGTGAGTCTCTTTGCCTTCCAGGCCAAGAGCCTGCCCTGCCAGCGAAGTTTCCAGCTCCCACTCGACATAGTGGTGGCGTTTGTTTGCTCTGTTTTATGAGCTGGGCTGGGAGGAGGTGGTGGGCAGCGCGCTGGCAGGCTGCTGCGAGCTAGGCATGTTTATCCTTGCTGTGGGGGGAGGCTGGGAGCCTGCTGCTCTCCAAGAAGGCTGCAGCAGAGGCATGGGACCAGACCCCTACAGCCTTTTCTGCCCTTGCTGTTTTCTCTATCAACAGATATTACACTTAGTAATAACCATTTATGTTTGTGGAGAACTCTTAAGTCCTTGAAAATGTGCTTCCCACTGTCTTGAGAAGTGGTCCCACACTTTCCACCCATTTTGCTGGTGAAGCGCATGAGGCTGGGACAGGTAGGGCAGCTTGCACAGACTCAACTGGATGGCAACACAGGCCAGCTGTCCTGTGCACTTGGTCACTGTGTCGCAGCTGCAGCTGCTGTTACATGGAGTCTGTAAGATGCAAGTGGAGTCTTATGGAGGAAAACCTTGCCCGCTTGTGTAGTAGAACAGCAGGACCAGGGAGGGTCCCAGAGCTGGTTTGGTTGCAAGGAAGAAATGAGGACTTTCTCCCAGGGAGAATGCTGCAGGGAAGGGGTCCGGGATCCTCAGGGCCAGGAACGTATGAGCAAACCACTCATCGCCAGGCTGGGCAGTGCTGGGGTGCCTGCCCACCAGCCCCCGAGCACTGCTGTCCTGGTTGGAGGCACAGGTCCTCCCAGGTCCCCTGGGGTCCCAGTGACTCACTTCAGGAGCCCAGGGCAGCCAGGCCACTTTCCCAATGAGATGGAGTTTGCCTTTGCACTCTCATTTTCTTGCGAGTATCTGGGGATATTTCCCAAAGGCCACGTGACGTGAACGTGTCATCACCGTGGCACTGCCTGGGATGTGAGCATGCATATTCATGTGCTCAGACGTTTTCCCAGTTTGCATTCCCAATGCGATCAATATCAATGGAGAAACCATACACACAAAGCTCACTGAGGTCCTTGGTAACTTTGAAGCTTACCAAAAAGGGGTCTTGGTAGCAGAGAAGTGCTCTTCTGAGCTTTCAGAGTCAGCCAAAGAGAAATTCAACCAGCAGAGGGGCTGGATGGATGGGGTGTTCTCAGCCAAGACCTGTCCCTGCTCCACCCCCGGTCTGGCGCAGCAAATGGCTGCATCATGGCATGGCAGTGGATGTACAGGCAAGGAGCAGGGTTCACTGCTTCCTTGGGAGTCAGCGGAGCAGCGAGCTCCCAGGGACAGCACAGACATCCGTCACTCCTCAGGGGCCCTTGACCCTGGAGTTGGAGTCACGGCCCTTGCAGATGGGAGTTTTATAGGGATTTTCCAAAATGTAACACCAGCCAGCTCTTCTCAGCATGCCCACTGGGTGAGGTGACATGGCCAGAAAGGAAATCGCAGCCAAGGCCCACAGCATGTGGGGGGGTGGGGGCATGACCGAGTCCAGAATTGCTTCTCATTTGGCTTTCCTACAAAACCCTGGCCAGGGAGAGAGGCCTGAGGGGGTTCCTCCAGGGCTGCATGGCCGGGGGTACAGCCACGTACCCCAGAGAGGACGGAGGCTGCAGGGTTGTGTGTGTGTTGAGAGCAGTAATCGCTGCTTAACTCAGCAGTCAGAAGCAACTTGAGGTGTTCCGCATGGAAAGGGATTTAAGCAGGGAGTTATAGGCACACTAACAGAAAGTTGGACTTCAAGGAGCAGTGCTAGACTGGGCTTTTAGGGGTGACCCGAGGATGGCACAGGACTTGGCCAGCCTGCCCACATCCCTGCCCGGGCTAGCTGCCCCACACCTCTGCCCAGGTCAGCCACCTCACACCCCTGCCCAGGACAGCTATCCCAAACACCTGTGCAGACAGCCCCGCAGCGGTGGGCTGGAGCAGACCCTCCGGGCTGTGACTCAGGGTAGAAGGTGGAGTCAGGAAGTGATTGTTGTTGCCTTCACCAACACCCTCCTGGCCCTGAAGGCCCAGGGGAGGGGGTCCCTGGACACAGGAACGTGCTGCGGATGGATAACAGGACAAGGGGCACTGAGCTGGCCTCTGCTTCATATTCAGTTCTGTTTATGCTTGTGGTTTTTTTCCCTAAGATTTTACCTATTTCTTTGAAAGGCAGAGTTGGAGAAAGAGAATGACTTTCCATCCAGAGAGGTTCACTCCCCATATAACCACAGTAGCTCGAGCTGGGCCAGGTTGAAGTCAGGAGCTTCTTCCAGGTCTCCCGCATGGAGTAGCTGGGGCCCAACCACGTGGGCCATCTCCTGCCACTTTCCCAGGCACATCAGCAGGGAGCTGGATGGAAAGTGGGAGAGCCTGGGTTGAACCAGCATCCCATGCGACAGGCAGTGGCTTAGCTGGCTGTGCCACAGCACCAGCCCCTTTCACATCTTACTGGAGGAGCTGAATTTGTGTCCAGAAACCCCCAGCTGCAGAAAATTCTGGGAAATGTAGTTTCACTCTTGTGTGTCTCCCGCTAATCTAGCAGCATGAAGGGTGAGTGAGCTGACACCCAGCAGGCCACCAGGTTAGCAAGATACACTTTGTCGCGTGTTAGGTATGAGGCAGGTAACAAAGATGTCGTCTAATTGGACTTCCTGATTTCCCAGATTCCCTGCTGGATTCCCCCAGTGCACTGGAAGACGCCAGCTTAGAGGTTTAGCAGCCACGCTTGGCACCCGGTGTTGGCTTTCGGCCACAGTGTGGAAGAGTGATCGGCAAGCTCATGAGTTCCCTTCTATCCCCACTTCAATCTTTAAAGGTTTAAGTAGAGCTTGCATGTGGGTCAGAAATGACACACAGTTTCCCCGTGTCTGCCTCCTAGCCTGGTCATGTAAGAATTCAACACTTAAAATACTGGTTGGGTGGGGGGGACTTTAACCCAAAGAATACCAGTTCACAAATGAGTTCTTGTTCCTTCCTGGACTACCCAGATTTCCCCTAGAAAGCCCTGGTTCCCCACGTTCGTGAGTCGGCCCCACGCCTGTGAAAAATCAGTCTTTTCTGGACAGAAAAATGACAGGGTCACACCACAGGGTACTAGTGTGTGTGTGCAGTCATTGGCAAACGCTGAGCAGGAACTCTACCTTGTCAGGCCCCAGGCTGGGCCCGCTTTTGAAGATGGGAGTATTGCTCTTGATTGCTTTGGAGAGAGGGGATCAAGAAGGCTCTGGAAGGAGCCAGCCGTGGATCTGAGCTTCACCGGGATGAATAAGGTCTCGGCAGGCCATGGGGAGGGCTAGGTACTCTCCCTGGAGGAGATGGGAGCAGGCAGAATGGACTTGAAGCATGTGTGCTGGCCACCTGACATGTTCTGGTACCCAGAGGGTGCCAGGGCCGGGGGAGGTAGGAGTGAGATTCGGGGCACCCTCGAAGCCAATGCTGGCAAGCCTCCTCCAGCCTGTGGCGCCCTCACAGTCACCCCGACACTCAGGGTAGGTAGCTACAGTGACAGAATGTCCAAGTCGCCCTCTGCCTCAGCTGCCCTGGCTGATTGGGTGTCCTGTTGGTGTTGTCCATAGAAGCTGCTTTGGCCCCTCCAGGTCAGAAATACATCCCTGGGGAGATGGCCTGAGCTGCAGGAGGCAGAGATGAGTGCGGGGATGGGCTCCAGCCATGGCCCGCAGGCCTCTCCCGGCGTCTGGGTCCTGGTTGGCGGTCTTCGCTGCCTGTCAAGGGGCCAGCCGGGCCATGCCCAGTGCTCCAAGTGAGTGGGGTGTGTCTGAGCGCCTGGCCGCCTGCCCCTGGCCTGCTGCCCGTTCCCTGGCTGGCTTTAAAAGGCAGGCCAGAGGGTGGCAAGGCTGAGAGGCGGGGCCGCCGGCTGGAGCTGGTAGGCTGTGGAGAGAACAGCCCTGAGGGGGCCATGTTTGGGGGCTGCCTGTCACTTGGCTTGGGGGAAGCCACAGCAGGCTGGGTGCCCTGTGAGTCAGGAAGCTAAGGGCTGGCCACCCAGCCCTCCATGGCTGTGACAGTCCTTGTACTGCAAAGGGCTCTCCCGAGGAGCTCTTGGCCAAAAACAAGAGAAAGGAGCCCGCTCTCCAGTGCCAGGGGCCCAGCCTCCCTGCAGTCACAGCCGAGTGGGAGGGGCAGGCCCCGGCCAGGGGGAGTGGCAGGATAATGCCCTGGGCACTGGTCATAGTCCATGTGGACTGCGCCCCCTGGTGGCACCTAGGGTTAACAGCCTCCTCCCTCTGTCTAGCTGTCCCTCCTAGCCCAGGGAGTGTGCCTCCCTACGTGCTATGCTGGGGCCCAAAGCTGTGAGGGCCACCTTCCCTTGAGGCCCCAGTGAAAAAGAGTGACTGTCAGTACACACAGACAGCAACCCTTAGAAATAGGGACATGCGTGTCGCAGGTGAATTGGGCTCAGGGTTGCCATCTGAGGCAGCACTGCTGGGCTGGAGCTTCTTTCCTGCACACCCTTCTCCCCTGGAGGGTCTCTGGGCTATGCAGAGGGGGCAGCCCGGAAACCCTGGCTTGAATATGCACAGGGCCCTAATACCGTGAGCCCTGCCTCTGGTGAACCACTGAGTCAGTTCCATTGCTGCCCCGGAAGCTGTGGATGGAGGGACTGGGCTTCAGACGCTGCTGCCACACTTTCCAGCTGCCTCCCCTCCCCTTGTGCCCTTTTTCTCCGACCCCTCCAATCCTCCCTGGGACCTGACTTCCATCTCTGCCCCACAGGCCCTTCATGCTGCTGCCACCGCTGATGGAGTGGATGCGCGTGGCCATCACCTATGCCGAGCACCGCCGCAGCCTCACTGTGGACAGCGGCGACATCCGGCAGGCCGCCCGGCTGCTGCTCCCTGGCCTGGACTGTGAGCCCCGGCAGCTCAAGTATGGAATCAGGAAGGAGGCCCAACAGTCCCTTTCAGCTCCATGCTCCTGGTAGCTGAGGTGGGAAGGGGGTAGTCTGAATCCAAGGCCCACATGAAATGCACACTGCCCCAAGGGCAGCTGCTGCAAGGGCCAGGTCTGTGAACACCGGCCTGCTCTAGGTCTGGGGGCAGGTGCATGCTGGGTCTGGGCAGGAGCCTCACCGTGAAACTCGGTTAACCTAGTGGGGGATGGGGCTCGTCCCAATTCACACCCAGCACCCTACAGCCCCCACGTCTCTGCTCCTCATCTCCTTGCCGGGGTGCCCCTCTTGTCTTACATGAGCCTGCTGTTCTGGAGAGTGTCATTCTGACCTCCCCTTTGCCTCTAAGGGACTTAGTTTGTGGGGGGGGGTGCTATGGGGAGAGGTGTATTTTAAGCCTCTCTCCAAATCCCAGCTGTGGCTTCTTATGTCTCCATCTTGAGATGAACTTGCTACACTTGGATCCAACCACGGTTCCAGGCTGAAGGGGACCAGGGATCGTGTACCCTGTGTGGCCATCGAGTGAGCTGTACCCTGCCTCGATCAGGTTGTGTTGATGGCTCATGTGGCTCCCAGGCCGCTTTCTGCCTTCCCCAGAACTCCCTGGGCCTCAGCAGGAAGCCTGGAGGAGGCGGGGAGAGCCAAAGACACTAGAACTTGGCTGTCTTTACTGTCCCACGGGCCGAAGTGCAGTGTGCTCCAGGCAGACGATACTGAGCCAAGTGAGGCAGCACAAGCCCAGGCTGGAACCTTCCTCCTGGGGGAAGTCCCTTGGCAGTTGATTCAGCTGGGACTTGGCTTCCTGGCGCATCTGGCAGCTGCTGAGAGCTGAGGACAGCCCTTGTCTTGCTCATATTCATGGAAACATGGAAGGACTATGTGACAGAGCACGGCTGGGACAGCCGCAGCTGAGCTGATTGCAATGTCTGCTGCTGGCCCAGTATCTCCTGCCCCGCTCCCCACAGAGCAGGTGCCCCACTCATACCCACCCTGGTCTCTTCTGGGCAGGCCTGAGTGCTGTTTTAGCTCCTTCCGGAGGCTGGATGCGCGGGCGGCGACCGAGAAGTTCAACCAGGACCTGGGCTTCCGCATGCTCAACTGCGGAAGGACGGATCTGATCAGCCAAGCCATTGAAGCTCTGGGGCCGGACGGCGTGAACACCCTGGACGAACAGGTAATTCCCAGGCGCTTGCAGCGACCCCCTCCCCGCCAGAGTTGCTTTGCTCCATGCTCCCCCTTGTACCAGGAGCCCCACTATTCAGGGTGTGGGTTACCAGTAGGGATTCCCCCCCCCCCCCACGCCCCAGAGGCCCTAGGAAAAGTCTTTCTCATGTGGGTTCTACATCCTGGCAGTGGATGGCTGGAGGCTGTCCCTGAGGGCACAGGCCCAAGGAGCAGGTTGGTATGTGGCTGTTGATTGTAATCACTAGCACCAGCGGGAGAGCAGGGCTGATGCCAGCTGTGTGCCAGGCCCAGAGGAGCCCTGGCCTTCCTGAAGTTAACATTCTGTGATAGTAAGAAACAGAAACAGAGGGGACCAGCGTGGTGACACAGGGGAACAAATGCCTGCCTGGCATACCAGCATCCCATGCAAGCAACGGTTTGAGTCTGGGCTGTTCCACTTTCAATCCAGCTGCCTGCTAATGCACCTGGGCAAGCTGTGGTCCGAGTCCTTGGACCCTGCACCATGCGGGAGACCTGGATGGAGTTTCAGCCGCCCTGTGCTGTCGTCACTGCCATTTGTCCCATGTCATAGATGAGGAAACTGAGATTGAAAGTCACACCAGCCATGGGGAGCAGGGCCAGGAGGTGGCAGAATCCAGCGTCTTGACCATGTGGGACTCCTGTTGGTCCATTTGACACTGTTGTGTGACCAGGATGGGCGCACATGGCCATGCTGCGGGCGAACCCGTGCAGTGGTATGGGGAGAGTGCAGTGACCACATGAGGAAGCTCCAGGTGAACCATGGGCCAGGGAGGGGACAGCAGGGTCCGGGCAGGCTTCCTGCTTGATGGTTCTGGACTGAGCCTGGCAGGAGGGCAGGGCTGCCTTGGACCCGGGTGGGGAAAGCAGCCTAGCAAAGACTGAGCGAGCATGTGATGTGGGGCCCTGCAGACACTGTGCTCCTGGGGGTGTGGGCTTCCTCCTTTTCAGCTCAGGGAGGAAAGCCCACACACTTGAACTTCAGACAGACCTGGGGTTGAGTTCTCCAGGGCAGTCGCTGTGGCTTCCAGTTTCCTCATCGTAGAGATGAGCGATGGCGGTACCTGCTGTGTGGGGCGAAGGTGAGAATGTGCAGCTGTGCCTAGTAGCTGCTCAGGGAGCGACCGTGCAGGTGGTTGTTGATACGGAAAGCGTTACCTAGTGGCCAGAAGGGCAGAGGTGATTCCTGACAGCTGCTCATCACCTCCAGAGGGCACAGGGACAACATGCAAACAAACAAAAAGTCACTTCTCCCGGGGCTCACAGCTTGCTTTAAGTGGGAATTGTGTACAGATGCGTGCAGAGAGAAGGCACAGGTGTCTGTGGAGACAGCCCAGCCAGCTCTGCTCTCAGTGCTCCATCCCATCTGCCCCCTAAACGGGGCGGGTGAGCCTGGGGTCCAAGCAGCCCTCTCGCCCCCCGCAGGAGTGCAAGCCTCTGCATCTCCGGGTGCTGGACAAGGATTGATGAGGGAAGGAGATCTTGTCTACACACAAATCACCTCATAAATAACATTACAGGGCGCTGGCCAAGTGCGTGCTAGGATCCAGCTGCGGAATAAACACAGGGCCGCCTGCCTTTGCTGTTGAAGCCCCCCTGAGGAAGACTCTGAGCCAGGGAGGCAGTCCCACCCCCGCAACCCCCGCCAGAGGAGGATCCCGGCTCAGCTGTCAGGCCACTAGCTGCCCAGTAGCACAAGGTGTTCGAGTTGTGCCCTGCACGCACTCCCAGGGGACACCTTGAAGCAGGAGCCCTGGGGTCTACCAAGTCCCAGGCCTGGCTATTGGGGACCCCTGGGCACTCAGCTCCCTTTGCTTAAGGTGCTGGCTGAGAATGGAGTCAGGAGGTGGGGACCACACACAGATTGCTCAGCACTGTGGGTTCCGCACCCGGGGCCTGGAATGGGAAAATGGCAAAGAGGACACAGCTGTGGCCAGAGCAGCGTTGCTATTTAAAGATTTATTTATTTGAAAGGCAGAATTACACAGAAAGACAACAAAAGAGTTCTTCCATCTGCTGCCTTACTCCCCAGATGGCCACAGTGGTCAGCATTAGGCTGGACCAAGGCCAGGGATTTCTTTCAGGTCTCCCACGTTAGGTGCAGAGGCTCAAACATTCGGGCATCACATGAGTAGGGAGCTGGATTGGAAGCGGAGCAGCCAGGGCACCACCCGGCCCTCGTAGGGGATGCTGGAATCGCAGGTGGAGGCTTGGCCTGCATGCCAACATAGTCATAGTGTGCAGCCAGCACTTTTGAAGGCCACCCTAAGCGATCAACACTGGTCCCACTTTCAAGACAAAGACACTGGGGCACAGCAAGGGACAGCAACTTGCACAGAGTTGACAGCTCTCCCTGGGGCCTTTGCAACCCAGCCTTCTCATGCATCCATCCAGCAGGCTTGGGGAGCTGGGCCTGCAGGAGACCGGTGGCTGTGGGGGCCAGGCTGCACCTGCATGATGGGAGCCAGGCGTCCTAAGTGTCTGTCCTTGCTCCTGCAGGGGATGACCCCTCTGATGTACGCGTGTGCCGCGGGGGATGAAGCCATGGTGCAGATGCTGATTGACGCTGGGGCAAACTTGGATGTCCAGGTGAGCAGGCACTGGGAGCTGCGCCCGACAAAGGTCACCTTCAGAGTCAGTGCAGCCACACCTGCTGGCTGGGATGTCTGGGGCAACTGGCAGCTGCCCCTCTGGGCACTGCAGATGCAGGACACCAGAGATCACTATTAGCAAAGAACATCCATGAAGATGTCCAACAGGGAGTGAGCTGATTAGAGGCCAGCCACGATTCCATCGTGGAACCTCCTGGTTTAGCAGCTGAATCCCTTGTCATCTCTTCCATCCCCACTTTCTTCCAGCTCTGCCAGACCCTGAGGCATCCCCAGCCCAGGATAGACATCAACAGTGGAGCACTGGTCACACACAGTGTTCCAGGCAGATATTGATCGAACTCGGAAGGCATTCACCCATCCCTGCAGGGTGCCTTCCTGGGACAGGTGCCTAAATTGCCCATCATCTGTGGTGTTTTCCAGGTTCCAGGCACCTCTCCCAAGCACCCCTCCGTCCACCCCGACAGCCGGCACTGGACTTCGCTGACGTTTGCCGTGCTGCATGGACACATCTCCGTGGTCCAGGTGAGCACCTGCCAGGTGCAGTATGAATCCTCGGCTTCCAAGCCTCAGCTGCGTCAACAGGTGCCTGGAATGAGACACCCAGTGATATGGCGAGAGACTGGGCCCACCTGCTCAGTTGGGCAGTGCCCCTCCTGAGTGACCTCAAAGGAGAGGTTTATGGGGAGCGTGTGTGTAAGAGTTAGAGAGCAAATCTGAGGTCAGCGTCAGAGCCCCGTCTCGCCCTCCTGGTGTGGCTGTGTGTCTCGGGGCGAGGCGGGGCTCAGGTCACGCCCTCATGATCCACCCACCACAAGGCCAGCTTTAGACCATGATGGGCTTCAGTCTTCCTGATCAGCCTGCTCCCAGGCCAGCAGGAACCCTGCCACACACCACCACCCAGCTCCTGCTAGGCTACCAGTGTCTACAGGACCCACATCCTCCTAGCTGGGAGACCCCGACAGAGTTGCTGGCCTGGATTCATCATTGCCAAGCCCGTCTGGCCCCCATGAGTGGCCCTGGCCCCGCCAGCCAACACACCTGCCTGCTCCCCTAAAGGGCTGAGCATCTTTGACCTGGGCCCGGGCAAGGCCTGCAGGACTGCCGTGGGCTAGTCTGGCCAGGTGCCCAGTTTCATGCTGCCTCCTCGGCTGCCACACTGGCACAGGCTAGTTTCCAGCTGCCATCCAGCCCTGCTCCTGCGCCACAGCGGAGCTGGGAGGTCAGCCTGGACTGCTCTCAGCCTCCTGGCCTAGTCACTTGGTGGGCAGGGACTCCCTAGGCTGCAGGAACAGGGTTTGTGTCCACACTTGGAAAGGCCAGAAGGTCACTCCCTTCAGAGAAGCCGGTCAGGAAGGGTGAGCAGAGCCAGAAGTCAACCTAGGAATGATGCAGCCACCACCCTCACCCCCAGGCTCTGCTAGAACCGCCTGGTATCTGTTAAACCTGCCTCAGCTGTCTCAGACCAAGTCTTGTCCTTGCTGGAATGAGACTGCCTGTTCTCCAGAGCCTTGAGTCCCATTCTGCCCCAGCCCCACCACTAGCCAACAGGGGGCAGTGCTGAGTCCCTCTGAACAACTAGAGTTACAGGGTTCCCCTGATGACATTAGACCCTGTGAAGAGGGTTCTGGGTTCTGTGTGGGAGATCCGATAGGGAATGGTTGACCTCAGAGTTCTCGGCCTATGAGGGCATTCAAATTCCCTGTGATCTCCTTGGCAGCTGGGATATAGTCCTTGGTGAGGTACCAGGAGTCTCCGGGGTTAGGATACAAGCCCCCTCCTGCTCTGTGCATATGACCTCCTGTTAAGAGGCTGTCGGGATCACTCTTGAATCCCACGGTATGTCTTTATAGTTTTTGCTGATGTCTAAAGCAGATGTGAGTCTGCTGCACCCCGGGGTAGGTTGATCCCCAACCATGCCACCAGGCAGACCCCTCTGAGTGCCTCACAGAGGAGGAGCGGGGGGCCTGGGGCACCTTCCCTGGGCCACTCACTCTCCTGTGGCTCATGGTAACACCTGCTGTCTCCAAGAGCCTGAAACTGCTCCCTATCCAACTGGGGTTGATGCTTTGTTCTGCTCATCTGTGTGAGTTCTTAGGAAAGAAAGAATCCAATTAGAACTTAGGTTTGGTCCCCATGGCCACCAGCATGGAACTGTCCAGAAACTTGGAGACTCACAGGTTACCTACAGGCAGAAGTGAGCTTGGAGAGAACTCGGGACCCAGTCTCAGACCACCCCTGACCGCACCATGCTGAGCAGTGTCCCCTTTCCTTGCTTCTGCCTGGCAGCTGCTGCTGGATGCTGGCGCCCATGTGGAGGGCTCGGCTGTGAGCAGCGGGGAAGACAGTTACGCGGAGACGCCCCTGCAGCTTGCCTCGGCGGCTGGTAGGTACCCAGGTGCCCTGCCACCCAGGGGCCTCCAATGTCTGAGAGGTTCTGTCCATGCCTCTCTGCCATTTCACAAGCTGAGTGGGCACCTAGGACCCCTGAAACCTCTCCTTCCAGCCTCCGGGGAAGGGGAGGCTTCCCTTTATCCCATTCACCTATTTCTCCTAGGGAACTACGAGCTGGTCAGCCTGCTGCTGAGCCGCGGCGCCGACCCCCTGCTCAGCATGCTGGAGGCCAACGGCATGGCTTCTTCCCTCCATGAGGAGATGAACTGCTTCAGCCACTCGGCCGCCCATGGCCACAGGTACCTGCCCCTGGGCTTCCTGGGCACACTGAAGCGGCCTCTCCAGGAGCCCACACAGGCAGAACAGCATGGCCCAGAGACCCTGCCAAAACTGGGGCCTGATGGGTCGGCCAGGGAGCTGTGGGTCACGCAACCCCAGGACCCCAAAGGGCTGGGCCAGGACCCCCTGGTGGCAGGGCCTTACTGGGACCTCCTAACACCCAGGGGAGGCCAACCACTTTCTGGCAAGGTTCAACTCTCTGCAGCGGCCAAGTCTGGGCAGAACCACGTCCCGTCCTGGGCTTGGCAGTGGCACGCTGGTACCCACCGAAGGTGGCTGCAAGGGAAGCTAGAGAGGGAATCCCTCCCTTCCCTCCAGACCTATGAGAAATCATTGCCTGCTGTGGCTGTGCAGGTGCACCTTGCTCTGTGGAGACAGCCACAGGCTGACATCAGGACAGGCGGAAGGACTCTGTCTCGCCTTCCCCAGCCCCTCTTCCCCACAGACCTGCACTGTCACCTCGGATGCTTTTTTTGATGGATGCTTTCTCTCCCAGACCTTCCCCCCCCGGCCCCACCCCCAAGTGGGTACGGACACACTGGCTTTCAGCTGACCAGGACACTCAGCTCAGAGCAGTGGACCAACCTGCCTCAGATCACACAGCAGGGAGGCAGGAGCCAAGCTCAGCCTGAGTCCACAACTGCAGGATACAACCAGGGTGGCTGTCCTGTACCCTGCCTGCCTGGGCGGGGAAGGCACTGAGCCCTCAGATGTTCCTGTAGCACCCATGGGGCCATGATGGCAGCTTGGATGGCGCCACCCATCTAGGGTGGGGACCTCGGGCCTCAGCTCCCTCTGTCCCTCATCCCACAGAAACGTCTTGCGGAAGCTCCTGACACAGCCCCAGCAGGCCAAGGCCGACGTGCTGTCCCTGGAGGAGATCCTGGCCGAGGGTGTGGAGGAGAGCGACACCTCAAGCCAGGGCAGTGGCAGCGAGGGGCCCGTGCGGCTGAGCCGGACACGCACCAAGGCCCTGCAGGAAGCCATGTACTACAGCGCCGAGCACGGCTACGTGGACATCACCATGGAGCTGCGGGCGCTGGGTGAGGCCTCACGCGGGTGCACATATGGGCGACACAGTTGCTCTTTCATAGCCCAGACAGGGCCACAGAGTGGCCGAGTACAAGGTGGTGGCCTGGATACACCCAACCAGAACACCCTGGGCCCTCCCCCATCTGCCACCCCCTGACCTGCCACAGGACAGAGTGGGTGCAGCTTCCATCCATAATGTAGCTGTGCTGCCCAGGGCCCCTTGACAGCCCGTGCTGGGTCAACAGGGTGCGCTGTGACCACAGGGTGCCTTGAGTGACTGCTGCCCCCCTCCCCAGGTGTCCCCTGGAAGCTGCACATCTGGATCGAGTCCCTGCGCACCTCCTTCTCACAGTCACGGTACTCGGTGGTGCAGAGCCTGCTGCGGGATTTCAGTTCCATCAAAGAGGAGGAGTACAATGAGGAGCTGGTGACTGAGGGCTTGCGACTCATGTTTGATATCCTCAAGACGAGCAAGGTGAGCATGGCCAGGCGGCTCTGCCCTGCACTCAGAGTACCTCCGGTGGCAGAGCCCACAGCCCCAGATGTCTGGTGGCACAGGCCAGAAGCCACAGATCCACAGAGGCTGGCCAGGAGGGCCCTTTTGGGGAAATCACTGCTGTAATAGGCCTCTCGCGCACGCCGGCCCTAACCCTTGGTAATGAAGCACAGGGAATGCACCTGCATCTGCAAACAGCAAGTACACCCATCCCACTGTCGCCCCTACAGAATGACTCGGTCATCCAGCAGCTGGCTGCCATCTTCACCCACTGCTACGGCAGCAGCCCCATCCCCAGCATCCCTGAGCTCCGGAAGACCCTGCCTGCCAGGCTAGGTGAGAGGCTGCCCTCACACCCCCACACCTCGCCCCGTCTGCTCCCCAAGTCCTTCCTCCCGCCCACTTCCAAGGACCAGACCTGGCATCATGCCATCTGTTCTTCACCTGTGTGTACCCATGCCCAGGACATACCCCCAGTCCCTGGCGACCTTCTCCATCTCTGGCTGTTTCTCACAGACCCCCACTTTCTGAACAACAAGGAGATGTCGGATGTGACATTCCTCGTGGAAGGGAGACTGTTTTATGCACACAAAGTGTTGCTGGTGACAGCTTCCAACAGGTAAAGCAGCCTAGGGACACCGGTATGGCCCTCTCCTCTTCCCCTCCCCCGGGGCCAGCGACCCCAGTGTCCCACCAAGGCAGTGCTCCTGGTGATGAGAAACCAGGAAGGCCCTGCAAGAATCCAGTGTCCTGGCTACAAGTGGGGTCAGGTCCCTGTGGGGCAAGGGCAGCAGGGACAGAACAGGGATCAGCCCAACACGATGGGACATGGCAGAGTCGCTGGGGGACACAGCAGTGAACTGTCCCGCCAGCTGGTGGGCAGTGATGTGCAGAAAGTACATTTCAAGCCCCACCTCATTTAGTCTCCTTCACTGCAGATTCAAGACACTGATGACCAACAAGTCAGATTCTGAAGGCGACAGCAGCAAAACCATTGAGATCAGTGACATGAAGTATCACATCTTTCAGGTACGTGGATGTTGGAGGGCTGTTCTACCCCCAGAGCTCTCGTGGGCCTTGTCCAGCTGGGCCTGGAGGACAGCTCCGAGTTGGTTATGCCCACAGCATCGGGCATGTAAGGGCACACACACAGTACATGAACCTGTGTTCTCAGCTAGCTGGGCCCCACCCCTCCCATCTTAGGATCTGCAGCCCCCTTCTCCTGAGAGTCCCCCCAGCTCCCCAGAAGGGGCTGCGAGGAGCCCATCCAATGGAAAGTCTCTAGCCTGGCTCTTCAGCACATGGACTGCTACATCATGGAAAGTCCAGTCTGGGCACGCAAGGCCGGGGAAGGGGCCCTGGCTGGGAGCTCCTTTTTGCCGGGTGGTGACTGGAGGTCTCCAGGCTGGGGGGGCCGGGGGGGCTGGCTCAGGGCTGTTCCTTCGGGGGTTGCCATGCAGCCAGGTGGCAGCTGGAGGCTGGGAACACCAGAGCCATAGAGCCTCATAGAAATCTAAGGAGCCCAAAGTCACATCACTCCTCTCCTGCTCCCTTGAGCCATGTACTTGGCACATACCCATTTCAGGGACTGCATGGAGAGTTGCCCTGATGGGGACAGGACAGAGATATGCTAAAAGAGCATGAGGAAGCACGGGGGTGGGGCCTAGGGGTACTTCTCAGCGCAGAGAGGCGTACTCCAGGCCCTGGACCTGGGCTTCCGGCTCTTTCCAGGGAGCCAAGGACCCAACTGATATTGCCACATCAGAGTCCTGGGGCAGATGAGAAAACAGAGGATAATAGCTCTCAGAGGGACACTGGTTAGCCAGTCGTCCCCCCCACCATGGGGAAACCCATCTCAAAAAACCCAGCCTGGGCCCAGCACAGTGGCATAGGAGCTAAAGTCCTCGACTTGCAAGCACCAGGATCCCATATGGATGTTGGTTCGAATCCCAGCAGCCCCACTTCCCATCCAGCTCCCTGCTTGTAGCCTGGGAAAGCAGCCAAGGATGACCCAAAGCCTTGGGACCCTGCACCCACATGGGAGACCCGGAAGTAGCTCCTGGCTTCAGATTGGCTCAGTTCTGGCCATTGGGGTCACTTGGGGAGTGAATCAGCAGATGGAAGATATTTCTATCTTAACTTTGCAATGAAATAAATCTTAAATAAAAATAACAAGAACATCTGAGCCTGCAGCAGCAGGGGACCTTGCCCACACTGCCATCCTGCCTTGAGCCAGGCCAGCTTCTTGCCCCAAGGCCTCCATTCCCCCTGGGCACACAGCCTCCCTCCTCCTGAGTTCCCGGGCTTTTCTCCTGGCAGGGAGTGTCCGGGGATGAATGGCTTCCAGAGGTGGAAGGGGAGGCAGGCTGGGGAGTGGTGCGGCTGAGGGCTCGCAGGCCTGTGCACTGACCCAGGGCCCCTCTGTGCTGTAGATGATGATGCAGTACCTATACTATGGAGGAACGGAATCCATGGAGATCCCCACCGCCGACATCCTGGAGGTGAGGACAGGGCCCAGCTGCCCAGTCAGGCCAGCTCTGTGACCCCACTGGGGTTGGGGGAAGGTCCTCTCTCTCCACCTGATGAACTAATGACGAGAGAAGATGCGAGAACCTGGGCCAAAGCCAGCAGCAAGCTAGAAAGGGACACCCCCCTGGGGGAGGCTCTGACCTGGAAGGGAGCTGGGCCTCACTCTGACCTGGTCACCCCCAGCTCTGAAGTTCACGGAGGCCACTCAATTGGCCCCATGGCCTCCCAGGACCAGAATTCCCTTCTGACAACTCTCCCAGAGCAGAAATTAGCTAAGGCCACTATCCTCTGGCCCCTGCCCCGAGGACAGCAGGGGGGCTTGGAGAAGTAGGGCACATGCCGGGAAGCAGCTGCGCTGCCCTTGAGCACCCAGGCCTGGCCTTGCCTCTTGCAGCTGCTGTCTGCCGCCAGCCTATTCCAGCTGGATGCCCTGCAGCGGCACTGTGAGATCCTGTGCTCTCAGACCCTCAGCGTGGAGAGCGCCGTGAACACCTACAAATATGCCAAGGTGAGGCTTCCACCACCCCTGGGCCCTGCTGAGCTGCGGGCGGACAGGCTGGAGTAGGAGATGCTGCAGAGGGCAGTGGAGGGGCCGAGAGAGGATTTGCAGCACCTTCCCTTACCCCTGAACTTGGGATACCAGGGGTCCCGGTGCCCGTGGCTGCTTAGGAGTTCAGCTTTGCAGCCTAGTGCGTCTCGGCTCTGCCACACCGGTCAGTAGCTGCGCCTTGCTGAGTCAGCCCATCCCATGGATGTTGCCTGAGCTTTCTCCCCCAGCTCCGCCCCAGGCCCAAGGTCAGCCGCCCACCTCAGATACACCACAGGGACCCCTCCTGTCCTGGCCTTCATGCTCTACTTCACGAGGTTCTCCCCTTCTCCTCAGCCAATAGGGCAGCGGGGCGGGGTGGACAAGGGCATCTGCGCTCTTCCTCACCTCGTCCCGCCCCCACAACACTTGAGACAGCCATGCGCTCTTCTCCTTGCCAATCCTGCGTTCGACATCTGATGTCCTCAGGCCTCCCGAGCGACATACCACCCAGCTGGAGGACACCTTGTTTGGGTGACTCTGTGGTCTGTGTGCTCCTTACTCTAGAACAGCAGCCCTAAGAGACCGCAACTTCAGCACCTAGCCCCAAGGGCGGGCCCTCACTGTTTGCCGAACTAACAGCTACTGGGCTGGGCTTCTGCCACGTGCATACTCACATGCCAGACACCTGATGCCACTGGCGGTCTGTCCGCCTGCCCTTGAGAAAGGAGTTTCCAATCTAGCAGGAATGTCCAGTTCAGCAAGGGGGACACTGGCAGTGATAGGAGCCCACACCAGACTTGAGTGACACTGCTGGGATCTGACCCCACCCTGTCCCTGGAAGGACTCCAGATCATGGCCTTACCCTTCTCCTGACCTGCCCCACAGATACACAATGCCCCGGAACTGGCCCTGTTCTGTGAGGGCTTCTTCCTGAAGCACATGAAGGCCCTGCTGGAGCAGGACTCCTTCCGGCAGCTCATCTACGGCCGCAGCAGCAAGGTGCAGGGCCTGGACCCACTGCAAGACCTGCAGAGCACACTGGCCGAGCGCGTGCACTCGCTCTACGTAACCTCGCGTGTCTGAGCTGCACTCCTCAGCGGCGACCTTCCTTCCAGTAAGGCAGGTGTGCCTTGAGCCCACCTGTCACGAGACAGGCGCCACCCTCAATTCTGGAGCAGACTGTTGTCTGGTGACAGCCCAGAGGGGATCTGCAGCCAAGAGATGGCCCTTCTCCCTCCCCACGCCCACACAGCTTGCACCCTGAAGGTCACACACACTCACCCTTCATGCAGCAGGGCCTGGTCCATGCTCCCACCAACCGTGGGGCTCAGCTAGCTTGGAGTGCTGGGTTGTGGACATCCCAGTGAATGTGGCACACCTCCTCCATCTGGGCTCCAGGTTGTAGAATGCAAATGCTGGTGTTCCATTCAGGGTGAAGGGCAGCAAGACTGGGCCATGGTCAGGTTTGCTGGGGACTCACAGGGGCCTGCAGGCGGCTGTCCACAGGGCAGCTTTGACCACCCTGCTGGCCTTGGGAACCTGGGCCTACAGGGGTACTCGCCTGGGGCTGGCTGGGCCCAGGGTGGCAAGGGGAGAGGGTGTTTGATGTAGGAGCCTAGGAACCTCAGCTCTTGTGGTTGCTGCTGGATTTTTTTTTTGGGGGGGGGGGGGTTCACACTAAGGGGCTGATCCTGAAACCTTACCCAAACAAGTTTGCCTCGGCAGGCTCAGACAACCCAACCTGGGCCTCTCCCCATGGCTGGGTCTCCTTAGGTAGTGGGGCTCACATCTTTGATGGGGGAGTCTTGGCTCCTGGAGATACACAGCAGGTGAGGAGCCTGGAAGCAGGCCACCTTCTGCCCGGCCCCCTACCTGCCTGCCCTGGGGGAGCCACAGCACCAGGCCCCACCCGGCCTATTTATGGATCAGACACTGCGAGGGCCTTGGGACAGCCTGCTCTGGGTGGGGACTCCAGCTGTCTGGCTGCACCTTAGAAACTATTTATTCACCAGAAGATCCTGGTGTTCCAGCAGGTGGCACTGTGCCCACCTGGGAAAGCCCCTGGGGCTTGCAATCCTAGGAAATATTTTTTTTGATGAGCTGCTTGAGCTGGATGTACAGAGGAATAGGTGTTATTTTATTGCTGTAATATTGTATGATACCATAACTGTACATTAATGTCACTCACTGTAAATCTATGATTTTATTAACAATAAACAGTCATTAACAATGACCTTGGCCTCATGGCTCCCAGGAGAGGGTTGCTCAGAGTTCAGAGGTGGGGAGGGCCCATGAAGATCATGGATAACCCAGGGCTGACTCTGGGTTACTCAGGGCACCCCACCCTCTTCCCTGGGGCCTTAGCCTGGTTCCCCTGCAGGTAAGAGGGGGCAGAGTAGATGAGACAGAATAGGTCTCCTTTAGTAAAGGACAAAATGCCAGGTAATGCCAGGACAGCGGCAGGCCTTTCTCTGCAGCAGTGACATGGGAATCACTGTGGCGACTAGTTTCCCCAAGTCCTTACGAACCCATGCAGAGGGGCCGGTGTGGTGGCTCAGCCGGCTAATCCTCCACTTTGCACTGCCAGCATCCCATAGAGGCACTGGTTCTTTTCCCTGTTGCTCCACTTCCTATTCCACTCGCTGCTTATAGCCTGGGAAAACAGTAGAAGATGGTCCAAAGCCTTGAGCAAAATCCTGCACCTGCGGAGGGGGTTCCTAGCTTCTGATCAGCTCAGCTCCAGCCATTGTCGTCATCTGAGGTATTAACTTTTTATACCACAAAACTACACCACACACCAGCAAACGCACAAGAAATTTACTCTCGGTAGCCACGGCCAACCAGCAAGGCCAGCACTAGCACCTACCAAAGCTGTAGGCCGCCTCCCTCTGCTGTTGTCTACAAGAAGCAAAGGGCATCCATCCCATCTGACTTCATTGCCCAGAGACCTTCCAGTCCTCCCTCCTCGAGGCCTGCAGGCTGGCAGAGCTGTAGTAATAGCCTAAAGATAATGAGCCTACATTTTTTCCAAGGTGACGGTCACTTCTGCCCATCCCCCACCCTAGCAGCCCCTTTGTGTCCTGCCTCCCTGCCTGCCCACTGCTGCTGCTGCTGCTCCTCCCCTGGACTGCTGGCGCCAGATGAGTGGTAGGAGCAGAGGCAGGCCAGCCTCCCCACCCCCTAACCCAGTCCTGGGGTGGGGCAGGGGGGCCGCTCAGGAGGCGTCTTTGTTTCCAGCTTGGCAGTCCCCTTCCCCATCCTGGTGACAGCATTCATAGCTAGCCCATGTGAATTCACCCCACAAGTGACATCGCCTGACACAGCCGAGCTTTACAGATGTCACTCAGTCTGGGGGCCAGATGGTGAGGTCTGGGGGACGCTTGCCTTTTCAGCCTTGAAGGAGAACCCAAGAACAAGACACACAGCGCAGAGCTCTCACCAATGAAGACACAGGCTCTGCACATCAAAGAGCCTGGCTGCACACCGCACAGGGGACCAGGCCACTTCAGAGCCGGCAAAAATGACTGCAAAAGTGCTCGCCGCCCAGAAGGCCCAAGGTGGTTTCAGAACACAGCCAGTGCCTTGGCCATCTCTGGGCTACTGTGGAACCAGGCAGCTGCTTGGATTAGCTCCAAGGGGTGTGCCTAGAACCCAGGGCAATCCATTCAAGGGGCAAGTGCTACATACCAGGCACCCCTCCCAGCTCTTCTCCCATATTCTACTCCGCCCTCTTCTCACCATGGCCCTGGCAGGTGGCACCACTCAGTGCTCATATTCCATGGATGTGGAAACAGAGGACAGGCAAGTCTTGGTCTACTTCCTGTTGCTAAAGCTGGGCTGTTTATATGGGGCTGCCTGTAGTGCCAGCATCCCATATGGGCACAAGTTCATGTCCCTGGATGCTCTACTTCTGATCCAGCTCCCTGCTTATGGCCTGGAAAAGCAGTAGATTGTTCAGATCCTTGAGATCTCTGTATCCATGTGGGTGGGAGACCCATAGGAGACTTCTGGCTTCAGAATGGCCCAGCTTGGGCCATTGCAGCCATTTGGAGAGTGAAACAGTGGATGGAAGAACTCTCTAATTCTGCCTTTCCATAAGTAAGTGTCCTAGCTAGTCCCATCTGACACCTCACAATGCAGAATCAGTTTCAGTGGAGACACACTAACCACAGTAGTGTTCAAGGTCAGGGGGAGGGCCAGGGCAGAGCCAACCATACAAGCACTTTCACCTCCGAGGCCCCCTCATCTTGAGCCCCAGGGCAGGGCCAGCTGAACAGACACTGGGACCAGGCACTGGACAAAGGTTTCCTCACTCACAGGTCATGTGCTTGGGTAACTTATGATACCATGGTGGGGAGGAGATGCATTTAGCCTAGCAGTGGAGGGGCCTGGGTTTCAAGCTCAGCTCCAGCCCCCGACACCAGCACAACTTCCTGATAACAGACCCTGGGAAGCAGCAGTGATGGCTCAAGTACCTGGGTTCCTGCCAGCTGCGTGGGATACCTGGAGGCAGGTCCAAGCTTCTGGATTTGGGACATCCCAGCCATGGCAGGCCTCTGAGGAGAGAACCAGATGGGAACACGCGCTTTCTCTTAAGAAACACAGCTCTGGTTCAACCGGTCCTCTCTGGAAGGCAAGCCTGGGCACCTACCTAAGAGGCCAATGATGCCCTCCATGGAGCTAACAGCATTCCTGGGCAGAAGCTGTGGACCAAAAACAACAGGCCCCCACACCCAGGATCCACCAGAGAAAAGGTACAACAACCAAGTGGTGGTGGTGGTGGGGAGCCACAACCTGCCTCTCTCCCGAGAAGGGACTAGAGTGCTTAGCACTTGGCCCAGGAGCTTCCCTGTCCTTCAGTCAGACCCCACAAACCCAATTAGGGACGAGGCCTGAGGAATGCTTCCATTTGGACCCATGGCATAGAAATCCAAGAAACTCAAGCCACTGGTCCTCTGTCCCCAGTGACTGGGAGGGGCTGGGTTCCTTCTAGGAACTAGGAAGGCAAGGAGGGGCAGCCTTCCTGGCCTCCTTTTCCCTCACCAAGCCTCCCATCCCCAGTGGTCCCCCTTGTCCCACAGTCCCTGGGGCAAGATGCCCCTGCCAAACCCTTGGCCCAGACACCAACACCCCCAAATCCTACCTGGCAGCATGACAGAGAAAACAGCAACAAGCCATAGGCACCGCTGTGGGACTTGCAAGCACTGGCAGGTAGAGAGGGGTCTTTCCAAAATGTTATTTATTAAAAATAAGTTCTCCACACCTCCTGTCTCCAGCTGCCAGCCAAGGAACCTGTTCCAGCATTTCCACAAACGGATGAAATAGTCTTAGGGACTCAGATGTCATATGCGACTTAAATTAAAGGCTTGGGCAGCACGGAGTTGGAGCCTGGAGTGGCAGAGTGTAAGGTGCCAGGAAGCCCAGAGCACTGACAGGGATGGGCCACAGTCCCCGCTGCTCCGGGGTGTGTGGCCAAGTCCATGACGCTGTCTCCTGCAAGATACCCTGAGTTGTGCCCTTGAGATCATGAACTTACAGGAAAGGAGGGTGCGGACCAAAAGGAGCAAGGCCTGGCAGTGCCAGGGGTTTGCCCAGCCACACAAGTTCTGAGCAGACCCGCTCAGGAGCCAGCCTGGCCCCGCCAAGGGCCATGGTCGGGCCTGCAGGTTTGCAGGGGCCTCCTGTTTCATAGACCGCACTTGGCCATTCTGAGAGGTCCCTCACTACTTCTTCCGCTTTGATTTCAGATCTTTCTTGTTCCTCATCTCTCTACTTTTCTTCGACTTCTTGTTCTGTTTTGGTTCTTGTTGGGTATCCATCTTCCTTTTCTTGTCACTGGAGGAAAAACATGAGAATGAATGGAAACTGCACAGTTGTGGTCGGCTCCACATTCTGGCCACTTTGTCTGCCAGGGGTACCCATCCAAGCCTGGCAGTAAGGGCACCTGGGCAGGAGCTAATGTTCTCAGCAGCCCTACCTGGGTGCAGGCATGGCATAGGGGGCCAGGGCTGTCCCTAAGCACTGGCCCCTGCCCTAATCACACTTAGTCTGCCCAGGATCAAGTCTGTACCTGGGGAGCTCGCCAGGGCCCCGTGCGCCCCACTGAGGACCACAGGTACGCAGGCAGCCCCAAGGAGCTGCCTCCCAGCACCAGGCCAGCCGAAACCCGACACACTGTCCCAAAATAGACAAGGCTCCGAGGAAAACCCTTCACGACTTTCTGATGGCTCTTGCTATTTATTCCAGGGCACTAGAAGAAACCCAATAGAGCAATAATTAGCTCAGGCTACACCCTACAGCTGGTCACTGATGCCTCCCTGATGGACTGACATCGGGACCACTCAGCATATAGCTCCTTCCATCACAGCACCATAAGGGTTGAAGGTTCTCCCCAAGGACGTTGGGTCATGGAGACAAATACTTCTCTGCCCAGGAAGAGCGAACACCAAGGGCGCCACAGACCTTTCTGTGAACAAAGCCCCTCTTGGGGAAAAACAAAAGTAGGCCTCAAAAATTTCTGTGGGGCCGTATTGTGGAGTAACAGGTAAAGTCACCCATTAGCTGTGATGTCAACATCCCACATGAGCAGCATTTAAGTCCTGGCTGCTACCCCTCTAATCCAGCTCCCCGCTAATGTGCCTGGAAAGCAGCATAGGATGGCACAATTGCACTCACAGAAGCACCACCTGGCATTTGTGGCATTTAGCAGTGAGCTAAAGATCTCTCTAGCTCTTTCAAATATATTAAAAAATAGACTTTTGGGAACCCGGCACGGATTGATTGACTAATCATCCCCCTTCAAAAGCCAGGATCTTGTATGTGCGCCGGCTCATGTCCTGGCTGCTCCACTTCCCATCCAACTCCCTGCTTGTGGCCTGGGTAAACAATCCAGGACGAACCAAAGCTGTCCTGGCTTAGAGGAAGACACAGAGACACAGAAGAGACACAGAGGAAGCTCCTGGCTTAGTTCAGGCTGTTGTGGCCATTTGGGGAGTGAACCAGTAGATGGAAGACCTTTCTCTATGTCCCTCCTCCTTTCTTTAGATCTACCTTTCTAATAAAAGCAAGTTTTAAAAACATACATATATTTTTTTGGCCCTCAAGTCCATGAACTACCACATACGCTCGGCAGGCTCCTCACCAGCACCACAGAGCATGGAGCTGCTGCCTTCGCGGCTAGTGTGCTCCCCTGGCTTCTCCCATCCAAGCACTAACCAGGCCTGACCCTGCTTAGCTTCCGAGATCAGTCGAGATCGGGCGCATTCAGCTATGGCCATAGACTTCCCCGGCTTCTGTTTTGGTCACTGCTCCCATGGTCCAGGCTTAAGGCTGAGGCCATCACAGACCCTGGGCTACCCAGCCACACTGCCGACCCCAGAAACAGGACACAACCAAGCAGGCTCACGTGCCATCTACTGGCACTCCCAGGAGACAGGGCCAGCAGTGACGGCATGGCCTCCAAGATGCCAGAGTGACAGAGTCTTCGAAAGACAATGTTGTGTGTCTGCAACCTAAAGTGTCTGGGATCACAAGGCTTCCTCTTCCCTAATGTTCCCAAAGCCATCAATAAAGCGGGCCCACTGGCCATCCTGCTCATGCCGGAAGCATACTGTTTCCCCGAGAAGCCCCAAGGTGGTTTGTAAGCCTCATCTCCAGAGGCCCTGGGCAAACCCCGATGCAGGTGCCAGCCCCAGCAGCCATGTCTCTCCCCACGATGCACTTCTCTGCAGCTAGGAGCTGGCAGTGAGGGGTTTCAGGCAGTGTAGGGACTCCCTGTGGGTGGTTTGCAGGCCCAGAGCTCTTTGTAATACTAGTGTACTATCTGCCAATTCCATGCTCATTCTCAGAATGTCTGGCTTCCCAGGGACTGAGGACATGGGATAAAGCAACAGAGTGCCAATATATACAGAAGCAGATGGGAGAGCCAGCTGCTTTCTAGGACATCACACAAAGATTAGCAAAAGCATAAATGCAAAGCAATGCCACTCTTATTCTTCTCCCTGAAATTTTTATGAAGAGTATTTTTCAAAGAGCACCAGGATACTGCAGTGAGTATTGAATACATACTGCTAAGTGTTGCAGTGTGCACAATACAGATGGACATGATGATCCACAGAAACCAAAGTCACCAAGGGTCTCTTTTAAGACGGAGACTCACAGTTCTGAGAAACACTGGCTTACAGGAAGAATGGGCCAGCAGTTCCAACCCACAGACAGACCTGGTTGCAATTCTGGCTCTGTCCCTTGCCCACTGGGAGCGTGCTTATTACTCCCATACTCCCACCTGAAGCCATGGCCATGTCACCCTTAAGGCAAGGCCGGTGACAAGAGCCTTCCTGCTGCTGCCGTTGTCAGTGGCTCTTCAGCCCCTCTGCCTCCCTGCCAGGCTTAGGGCCCTGGGACAGCAGGTGGATACAGGGAGGAAAGAGACCTGGCCTGACCTCCGGGAAACATGCTCTCAAGGCAGCAGCAGCCAGGCTGTTCCCACAGAAGAACGAATCAGGACTTTGTCCCCCGTCACCCTCTGCCCCAACCCCCCAAAGTCCGGGAGAAGTGGAGTGGCACCAGCCCCCGTCAGACATCACAACAGACCCTCACCTCTTAAGGCTGACGATCGAAGCATTCTGGCCAGCTTTATTCAAAACCTCGTTCCACTCCTCGTCATCCCCACGGATGATGTACCTCAAAAGGAAGAGATATGTCACACCCAGCAGAGGGGACCGCTTACATAAAAGCACGACAGGGACAACACTCTCACTTTTTGCCCTGAAGGCCAGGTTGAGCTACATCGGCCCATAGACAGGAGGGAGACACAGGAGGCTTGGCCCCACTGGGCAGAAGCGTCACAGGAGTGGGGATGCCAGGCCCGCTCTGGCAGCCGCCCTCCCAGCTTCAACCCTGAGCACAGTCACTGACCACCAGAAACCTCCGGCTCGCTCTCCCTTCAGCTCCCACACCTCTGGGAATCTGTGCTGTGCCTGTCCCCTCTGCCCTGCGTCACCTCTTCTGGCCTAGCAGTCCCAGCCATCAAGCTTGTAACTTAGCACCGCAGTAGAAGCTACAGCTCAATCCCCTGCCGAGACTCCTGGCCATGTCCACCTCATGCATCCGCAGCCACCATCACTAAAGGCTTGGCAACAGGGAAGCAGGCACTGAGCACCACAGGAATCGGTGCATGGGGCGGGGCAGACAGCACAAGCTCAAGTGAAGAATCCTAGTACACTGGAAGGTTCTAGAGCAAGCTCTTTTCTTTGTGGTGCCTAGAACTTTCTTTAAGCATTCACATGCAGAAGCTTGACTATTAATGTGCTCACACACCAGTTTCCCTTTGCCCCGAAAGTATCCTGACAGGGAGGCTCCCCAAGGGGTGACATGGAATCCTGGGGAATCCAGACACCCAACTGCCAAGGTCAGGCAGCAGGGGTGGTCTGGGGAAGCCACATTTCCTGCCACTCTGCCAGGGCACCAATGTGGTTCCGAGCACCTGCCTCAGAGCCTGGAAGTTCTGGTGCCACAGGTGGGTGGGGCCTTACTGGGAGAGGTCCATGTCCTTCAGCTTGCCTACTTCCTTTTGGTGCTTCTCCTGGAACTCCTTGGCCGCTTCATCCTGGGTCAAGGAGCAGAGAGAGGAGGTGAGAGGCAAGGAGGGAGGGCAGCAGGGAAACACAGGCCTCCTCCAAGTCAACTCCAAGGTCCCCACAGGCAAGCCCGCACATTCAAGCATGCCACAGTAGTTCACAAAGCCCTTGGCAAGAGCGTGAACAGCAAGTTTCAGTGCAAAACAGTTCAGAAATCCATGCACTGTTGCTTCACAAGAAAATCTGCTCTTGCCCATGAACTTTCTAAAGATCCTGCATTTAAAATACGCACTTCCTACGTTACCAGAAAGGACAAACAAAACATTCACACCAGCAGATGGTGGGGCCCTGCACTCACACACTCGGCAAGAAGCATGTATGGGCAGGGAGATACAGGGAAGAAACCCTGGGCCCAGGGCACTCTGGGGATCCAGTGCTGAGCTAGGTGGATGCAGAGGACTCTTCCCTGGGGCAAGGAAGACGCAGACCCCCACAGGCCAGGAGCAGCTGAGGAAACCCTGGGGTCTTTGGCAGGGACGTACCAGGTCATCACTCAGAGTCTTCATGGTGGGCTCCATGACCACATCCTTCACAGCCACCATCTGCTCCTCAATGGCCTTTTCCTGCACGTCATTAAACAGCTACAAAAGACAACATTAAGAAGCTGAAACTGAAGGAGCCGCAGGGGCCCAGCTGACTGGCATTCAGGGTCTGCAAGAGCTGGGTACTTCCAAGACACAGAGTGCTCTCCAGAGTCCAAGGATACAGCTGTTCTTAGAGCCCAAGAACAGAATGCACCTATATGAACTGCCTGTGGTACTCTCGCAGGGAACACAGAACTATACTCAAACAATCAATGTCCCGTGGTGAGAGTGCATGTGCATGATGTGTGTGTGTATGCGCGTGAGCATGTGCAGGCACAGTGTGACGATCCGCAGCACATGCGGCCAAATGGCAATGCCCTCCTGGGGAACAGGTGAGTCCACGAGCTTACCTTCACCACCTTGCGGATAATGCGGTTGAACAGTCCCATCAGCTGGCCCGAAGGCAGCTCAATCTCCTTTTCCAGCTGCTCCACAGACTTGTGTTGCAGGCCAATCCCCAGGAGGAGAGCCTAGAGGATGGAGAAGCTGCTGCGGTGACCCCAGGCCAAGCTCTGCCCATTAAAACCTACTGTGTTCCCTGATAAACACTGCTTTATAGCTGCAGTAGGGCTCAGGCAACGTTGTAATGGGAGAACATGGGGTGCAGCTATGGCTCCCCAACTTGCCAACCTCATGGCTACACATGCTTCTTGACGCTGGAGTCCAGGTTTCCTAACCCATTCCATGAGGAGACCGCTTATCACGTCAAAGGGCCCAACCCACCATCCATCCATAGACCAAGCCAACAGCAGGTAACCTACTGACTGAGTAGCAGACAGGGCCAGGTCCCCCAGCTGGTTCAGGAAATACAGGCGGGAGATGGCAGGCACCATGTCCATGATGAGGTGGTAGTCAACCATGTTCCGTGAGTACATCTCCAGCCGCTTCAGGTCATAGGGGAGGAAGAGCGAGTCCAGCTCCCCCCGGCTCAGGGCTGGGAACAGGCAGAATCACACGGGTCAGTGCAGCGCAAGGCACTCACAGGGCCCGGCCAAACTTGCCCTAGCAGCAGAGGCCATCTGCAGGCGCCTGGCCTCCAACCCAGCACGCATCCCCACCTCCGGCTGGCAGGACATCAACACTCTCCTGCCAGATGGAGGCAGCTCCAGGGCTGGGGGGCAGCTGGCACGTGACCCCTATGGAGCCCCTGTGCCAACATGCCAGACCCAGGAAAGGCTCCTTGTGCCCGCGGCTGAGGGGCACACATTGTTGCTCACTCTGTCACTGCTTCAGATCCAGCTACACAGAAACTGGGGATGCTGTGCCAGCTTGAGGAACACAGACTGTTCTGTCAGAATATAACTGGCAAAAAAGTGTGTGTGTGTGTGTGTACACTAGAGTATTTTAACAAGCTCATGGAAGAATCACACTACAAAAAAGCATGGATTCAAAAAATTTTACACCAAGGTAATCAATTTTCAGTTCCATTTTTCCACAAGCCTTCTGAAACTCTTTCTTGCATATGTGCACACACACAAGTAAAAATAATGGGCAATAAAAAACACAGCTGGTGATACTAATGATCCCGAATACATTTTTCACATCTTCAACACGCTCACAGGATTTATTCATGTGCACAAGCTCTTGCACACGAGACCACTGGTGCTGCCCTCCTATTCAGTGTGTGAGCAGCCTGAACCAGGTTCCATGCTAACCACCTGTATGCCCTTGACACCTCTCACCCAAAATCCCAAAGTTCTGTCAATGGGACATGAGACAGCAGGTGTGAGGCTGGGCCAGCACAGAGCATGAGCCTGAATGGGGGCGCTCAGTGGGTGACCAACAAGGTGCAGAACACTGCTCCGCTTCCCCCCTTTCACATAGCCAACCACTGACCACGCCACATGCCTAGCTCACCTGGCTGCGCCAGCTTCCCCACATTCCGGTTCTGAATGATATTCAGAGCCAGGGGAGGGGAGAAGGTGCTGAACTGGTAGGACAGCAAGGCCAGGAACCGCCTACGGAAATCTGCAAGGAATGACGGGCAGAGTCAGCACCTGGATGCGCCCTGTCAGCGGGCCATCCCACCTCCTTTCCACAGTCACCTTTCCAGAAGGCCGCCAGCCAGGCTCCCCGCTCTGCCTCGTCCTCGTCCGTCAGCGTCTTCAGCATGATGCACGAGTGTTCCCCGGTCAGGTCATTCTAGGAAACACACACTCCTGATTGGCATCAAGAACTCTCCTTAAGATTTATTTATTTTTATTGCAAAGTCAGATATACAAAGAAGATCCTCCATCAGATGATTCACTCCCCAAGTGACTGCAACAGTGGGAGATGCACCAATCTGAAGCCAGAAGCCAAGAACCTCCTCCAGGTCTCCCACGCGGGTACAGGGTCCCAAGGCTTTGGGCCCATCCTTAATTGCTTTCCCAGGTCACAAGCAGGGAGCTGGATGGGAAGCGGGGCTGCCAGGATTAGAATTGGCGCCATATGGGATCCTGGTGCATTCAAAGCAAGGACTTTAGCCGTTAGGCTATCGTGTCAGGCCCAATGTTTTATTTCTTTACTTTCCCCTGTTTTAAAGAGAGTGACAAGGTAGTGGGGAGGAAAGAAAGGAAGATCCTCCATCTCTTGGTTCACTCCCCAGATGCATACAGCATCCAGGGCTAGGTCAGGCTAAAACTAAGATCCAGGAGCTCTGTCTGAATTTCCCAAATGGTGGTGGGAAACCTAAGCCCTCAAACCCTTAACTGCTGATATCCATGATCCACTAACATGAAGGTGGATTGGAAGTGGAGGTGCCAGGACTCAAACTGGCAATCCCACCACAGGATGCAGGTGTCGCAAGCAGCGTAATCCACAGTGGCCAAACAAATGCCTAGAACCCTCTTTTTGGAATGGCCAGCATTGGTCAAGGGCAGCACACAGGTAAGACATGTGGTGCTTCTTCCCCAGCAGAGGGCGCCCTCACCATCACATCCTCTCATTGCTTCAGCCTGAACACTGGCCTGAAGCAGACACACACACCTGTTCAGAGGTCAGATCTGATTTGTGTCCTGCAACCACAAAAGTAAGACATTTGTTGCTTTCAGTTTAAGTCACAAGAATTTTAATTCAGGACAGGCATTGTGACAGAGCAGCTTAAACCAAAGCATGGGATGCCAGCCTCTCACATGACAGCCAGTTCAAGTCTTGGCTGCTCCACTTCCAATCTAGCTCCCTGCTATTGGGCCCCTAGTACTCAAGTGAGAATCTCAGATGGAGTTCCGGCTCCAGGCTCTGGCCTGGCCCAGCCCTGGCCCTTGTGGCCACTTGGGAAATTTACCAATGGATAATAATGTGAGATTATACGCATTTTCCCTCTCTGCCTTTCAAAAATTTTTTTCAAAAAGGCTTAAACTCCATATGAACCAATTAAGATATTTTGTGCCAGATATTAGGAACTCCAAAACCCAGAGCTCCCATGCCAGCAGCCAGTTTGCATATACAGGCTTCCTGAGGTGCTAACAGTAACTTTGAGGGGCTGGTGCCATGATATATCACACTAAGCCTAAGGCTGAGGCTCCACCATCCTACAGGGGCACTGGTTCATATCCCAGCTACTCTACTTCTGATCCAGCTCCCTGCTTATGCCTTGCCAAAGCAGCAGAAGATAATCCAAGTCATTAGACTCCCACACCCATATGGGACACTGGGAAGAAGCTCGTAGCTCCTAGCTTTGGATTCACTACTTTGGACCACTGCAGCCACGAGGGGGGAGTGAACCAGTGGATGGAAGATCCGTCTCACCTTCTCTTTATAACTGTCTTTCAAATAAAACAAAACTAAGTAAAAAATTAAAAAAAAAAACAACTGAGATAACTGGCATCTCCATTCTCCACTACCCAACAAAGCACCACAGCATGAAAATATCTAGGGGATGTCACTGAATGGTACTCATGACCACAACGCAGCGCCATGGCACAAGTGCACAGCACAGACCATGGGGACGTGCCATCGTCCACATGGACGCTCACTGCTCAGCATTCTCCTGCCAGTTGGCAGCCAGACTTACACCCTAACCTTGGCCCTACATGCTGACAAGGACCCAGCCCTTGTATAGCCACATGCTCATGGTCTCAACCAAGCCCACTTCAATCCTCAAACACGCACTTGACAATGTCCTCAGCCACTGGACGCTCTTCCCCTCTTGAAGAAAAGCAGCAGTCAGGAGAATCAAGATGGCGGAATAGGGTAAGGACACATTTAAACAGATGGAGAAACATTTAAACAGGATAAAGCAGAGAGGACACATTCCAGGAAATAGGAAAGGACAGAACAACAGGAGTGGGGTACGTGCAGACTGACAGACACAGGAAAGCAGCAAAAACAATGGTATGGTGTTGCAGTGGCTGATACTCCAGCAGCATTCAGCTAACTGCCATCTGAACTCCACCAGCAGCCGGAACTCCATCAGCAACCAGGTGGGAAGGGACTTTTACTGGGAGCTTGGGAGGTGAACCCAGACAAAGAACTGTCCATCCTGCTGGTCCATTTGATTTGACCAGGAGCAGAGACAGAGCAGCAGATTCCAGAAGGGTAGTTTGACAATAGGGTGGATTTCACAGCCCAGTCAGCTGAATTGGGCACCATTTTGCATAAGGAGGCAAAGGCAAGGGAAAGGACTCAGCATATGCTGAGCTGGGAGTGAATTCATTTCTGACTCAGTGAAGTACAACAATGTGTCATCCTACAGGTTCCACCCAAGACAGGTCTGGGTAGCCCTCAGACCTGACAGCCAGCAGATCAAGAACTCTAGTAGTGGTATGTCAGGCGCCATTTTGTACACTGTGGCAAAAGCTTTAGGACTGCAGGGGACAACAGTGAATTGCGCATGTGCTGAGCTCGCGAGGACTCACTGAGTTCTGTGGATTGCACTGGTCCCACAGGAAAATAATACCAACTGTGGCATCGTACGGGTCAAAATAGGTCCATGTGGCACTCAGACCTAATATCCAACAGGTTCTGGCAAGATCAGCACCAACAACAACCTAGCTATATAGGACACTTGGTATCTCCCTAATCCTGGGACCTACTCCAAATGGAAGTAGGAGAAAGGTTGTACAGACAACGATGCAGCCTCAGCACAGTATCACAGGAGGTGGAGATTGGTGAGCCAGGATTTGGGGCTACGGAGACCATGGTGGAAATCTAACATAAGAACTCAGACCTGGAACTCACTGGAGGGAGTGGCACAAGTGAATGCAAGCAAGGAGTTGTGTACCAACTGCAATAAGTAAAATCAAACTGTAGACCTGTGGGTGACACAGCTTAGAAACCTGCCCAAAGGAGAAGACTCTGCTAACCAAAGTACAATGACCAAGAGCAAAAGAAGAGACAAAGGCACAATGAATATTACTGAAAACTCCCCTGCAAAGGAGCAAAACCCTATGCCAACCTCAGAGTTAACTGAGGAAGACATCAAGAAAATGGGGGACACAGAATCCATAAGGCTCATTTTAAAGCTTCTGATCAGCAATGAGAAGCACAGACAAGAGTTCAAAAAATTTAAGGAAGCAGTAAAGCAAATCAAGGCTGATATAAAAGAAATTAATAACATGGTAGAGCAAATTAAAAGTACAATGGAGAGTCTCCAAAATAGAATGAAGCAAGCAGAAGAAAGAATCTCAGAATTGGAAGATATCTCCTGTCATCAGGGGAAAGCAAACAAAAAGCTGGAAGCAGAGCTGGATCAGGCCAAAAACAGTATTCAAGAACTGAAAGACACTATTAAGAGACCTAATATAAAACTTATGGGAGTCCCGGAAGGTGCAGAAAGAGAAGCTGGCTTTACAAATATATCTAATGAAATAATAAAGGAAAATTTCCCTAATCTAGAGAAATAATTGGGAAACAAGATCCAGGAGGGGCACAGAACTCCCAACAGGCTTGATCAAAAGCGATCTTCAGCTCGCTTAGGCAGCACATATACAAAAGTGATCTTCACCATGACACATGATCATCAAGCTCTCTTCAACTGAACATAAGGAAAAGATCCTTAAATATGCACGTGAAAAAAAATCAATTGACACATAAAGAAAGAAAAAGGAAAAAAATGTCGGCCTAGGATAACATATCCAGCAAAGCTTTCTTTTGTTTTTGAAAATGAAAAATCTTCCACAGTAAAGTTAAAATAATTTTCCTCTTCCAAACCTGCCCTACAAATGATACTTCAAGATGTTCTCTTGACTGAGAAGAGGAATAGCACCTACCAAAAACAAAGGCAAATGGGAAGAACATCCCAGTAAAATGACAACAGAAGACTAAACCAATGAACAATCCATTCCTAAAATGACAGGACCAAAGTACCACCCATATGTAAATGGCTTAAGCTTAATCAAACATCATAGATTAGTAGGCTGGATTAAAAAACAAAACCCATCTCTTTGTTGTCTAGAAGAGACACATTTCACCAAGCAAAATCAACAGAAACTATATTGCATGGGTTTTGATGTTTTCTGTTAGTTTCATCTTTTCAAAGCAATTTCTTCTGATTAAATTCTTCAATGACTCATAGATCATGCAGTAGCATCATCTTCTACAAGAAGGTTCTTGATTTTCATTTCTTCAGCTGCATGTTAGTCATTTAGTAGCATGTTATTTGACTTCATGATATTAATTTCTTTTTTCTTCCTGAGGTTGATTTTGTTTCTTTTCAATTAAGGGGATGTATAGTAGCTATGTAATGGAGACTGTCATATCTAGGACATTGTTATTTAACTTCATGGTGTTGTAAATTCCTATTTTTCTTTCAATTGTTAATTTTGCATTATGACTTTTCATTTGAGGGGATGTACAGTAACTGAAATGGAAACTGTCATATCCAGATGTGAGAATACAATGTAGTATGCATCTCTACTTCCAGACAAAGATGGACTTACAATGAAACTGTTTACTCTAGGATTCTGGACTCTGCCATTGTCCATGCCCGCAATGATGGACAAATGACTGTGTATGAAGAACTATACTTTAGTAATGATATAGAGGAACTAGGTGGGGCGGAAGAAATTGGGGCTGGCATAAGGGAAATACCAGGAGCCTATGAAATTGCATCATAAAATAATAATAATAAAATATAAAATGTGATTTAAAAAAAGCAGCAGTCAGATGTCTACACCAGCCCAGCACCAAAGCAGAAGCTAAGCAATGCCTCCCAGGCCTTCATTCTGCCTTCCCTCTGGCTGTGAGGGGAGCGGTGGGCCCTCTGCCAAGCCCTGGGTCCCACCCTGCCTCTAGGCCTGCACTTTCCCTACCTCCACACACACATGGCAGCAAGAAAACACACTTCTCAAATCGCCCATCTGACAGCCTGTCTCTGTGACCCAGCTGTCCACGGTGTGCCACTGTCTCTGTTCCTGTGCCGTCCCCTCACTTGCAGTGAGCCTTCCCTCATGCCCAGGCTTCCCTCACTGACCGTCTCCTCTAGTCAAGACACTTCTTAACACTAACTTGACTTTCTCTCTCACAACAAGGCTGCTCCTTCCCAGCGCCTGGGCTGCCTTCCTTCTCAGTCCTCTAATGTGAAGAGTCCTAGGGCTCCCCTCTTCTCCTTGGAGCTGCTGCAAATGCTGCTTCAAACCCTCACCAAGGACAGACACCGAGTCCATGCTGCACACCAGCTACCACTCCAGGTGCAGGGGCCGCCAGGAGCAGGAACACATATGTGCCCCGGCAGCAAACACCACCTCTGGCCCCCACTTTCTCCTTCACCTCCAGGCTCCCAGCCACTGAGTCCAGGTGCAGTTTGAAGTCTCCCCTGGGCAGCCTGCCCCCTAATGACAGCCTTTGGCACAGCATATACCACTCAAGATTTCCTGTGACCACTTTTTCTCCCTGCCAGAAAATAAGCTTCATTTATAGCTTATCATATCTGTCAGTGCCTGGCAAGAGAAATGGAAGGTGCGGATATTTTTAAATACACTGAGAGTCTCCAAGTGTCACCAAGTGTCAGTAAGCCTCTGCAGCCCCGGAGGACACCAGGCTACCCCTCCTGCAAGCTGCAAAGTGCAACACAAATCCACACAATAGCGCTCCTCTCAGAAAAGCATGTTTGTTTTTATATGAATTCAAGCAGTCCAGGTGAGATGCATTCATCCACCTATAGTTCTGCCACCTTCTAGTCGAGCACCAGGCCAGCCCCGCCTCATGGAATGGAGAATACGTGATCGCAGGCTTGTCAAGGATGATGACCGCCCCTTCAGGAATGGCAGTACCTGCTCAGCACGGCAGTCATGAGGCCAGGCTCGGCCCAGACAGCAACCAGAGACCTCAACCCACCCTGCCCGATACCGCACTTACCGGGGTCTGTCTCAGATAAACAGGAACAAACCCAGCGCGCTTCCAGAACCTGCAGAGAGCCAAGGAGAACAGGTCACCACGTGGAAGGGCACAGACAAGCAGGCTGACAGCAGCTGGGAGCAGACAACCCGTCCCGGGAGCCAGGGCAGGCCCACTCACTTGAGGAGCCTGGGAGTTAGGCCATAGGAAACTCCCAGATAGTCCAGGCGCTCAGCTGGTCTCTCGTTCAGCTTGAGGAGTAAAGGAGGCAAGTCCTTGCGGGGAGTGACGACCTCTTCCAACAAACTGACGGCCTGGGGAGATGGTGGGGAAAGCAGAGTCCACTCGGCATGGGGTGATGATGGGCAGCAGCCAGCACCCCAGCCACATCAGGCTCGGGACTCAACACAACAAAACCCCCAGGATGTGGCTTGCTCGCTCAAGCTTTCCAAACAAAGGAACACCAGTGAGGCCAGTGTGCATTCCCAAGCAGACCAAACGCGCCTACACACAAACAGAACGGAACTGCTTTGGGTCCAGTGTGCAGCCACACAGTTCAGCAAGGCCAAGGGTTCAGCATAGGTTGCAGGCTGTCATTCACCTGCCCTGCGACAACAACAAGCTCTGAGCCTGAAACTCAGTGCGACCTTTCCCAGCACCCACCCATCCACCGGAAATGCGTGAGTGCATGTGAGAGCTGCTGTGGTGACAAGTGTCACTCCAAGCAATGAACAGCAGAGCAGCACACTTTTAGAGCTGGCACAGAAGTGGGGACTGCACAGCAGGTGCTCTCAGGCTGGCACTGCATCGAGACCATCTGAGCAGCTCTTAAAGCCCAGACTCCCAAATCCACCTGAGTTTCTGACTCTGCAGGCTTGGGGTAGGGCTGGCATCTGGCGCTTCTAGCAAGTGCCCACATGATACTGGTCTGAGGACATCGACAGAAGCACTGGGCTGGCAAAAGTGCAGCTGCCCACAGCCGGAGCAGAGCCCGGACACTGGCACCACCCACCCACCCCTGACGCCCACAGCCTGCCCAGCCGTCCCACGTGAAGATGCTCACCTCACTGCTCACTGTGTGAATTTCCTGGGACGTCTCCAGGAGCTTCTCCTCCAGGCAGGGGAAACGGCCTTCGTAGTACATCTGCAGGAGCTGCAGTGCGCGGCTGCCATAGCCCATCTGAAAGCATCCACAGAGGGGGATAGCAGGGTGCCGAGGGACACCCTCAGTCAGAGTCATGTCCACTCCCTGTCCCATGTCAGGAATGCCTACATCCTGGTCATGCTGCACCAAGGAGACCCCTCCACCAGGCCAACAGAGGGGTGCCAAAGACCCCAAATGGTGTGACCAGACACCTGACACTGGCCTAACCCAGGAAGAACAGTCCGTGTGGCACCACGGGGAGGAGCCAGCTGTGGCTGCTGACCACACACCAGCAGCCAGAGAGGGCTTGTTTCAGTGCCAGCCAGAAAGGGCAGGAATTCCTCAGCTGGGTCTTCTGTGACAGAAGGCAACTACAGGAGGCAGCTCTGGCTCGTAAGTCCTCACAGGCAGCTGGAGCACCTCCATCGCCCTGCACCCTGTAACCCCCTCACTGGAGGCCAAATCCTCCACCACAGAGCAGCTTGTGGCCCCACAGCTGACCCACCCAACAGAGCCGTGAGCCATACAGCTGCAGTTCATTGTGTCGCAACAGGCTGGCGAGGCGGTGGGACACGTTACCCCTTGGTAATCCGGGTGCACGGCGATGCGGACGACCCTTCCACCAGAAAGGCTACCAAAGTCTGGGTCCTGAAACTGTTGAGAGAAGCAAGCCAGTGACTCCGCCACTTAATCTCCCACCACACCAGTCTCCCTCACTCCCGGGCCAGGGAAAGCCCAGTACCTGCTCAGATACTGTCCAGGGAATCAGGTCCCCCGAGGCCTTCTTGCCTCGAGACAAACTGTTCAAGATAGACTGTCGAGAAATCTCCCCTTCAAGGCACACCTGTGGGGGAAGTGAGTCCACTCTCAGAAGATGGGCCTTTTCTGTTGGCACCCTCGGCTTTTACTATGAAACCAACTCAGTCACTCCGACCAGCCCTCCGACTGTGCTACCAACCAGGCTGAACACTGAGCCCGGCCCACCAAGAAGAAACCTCCTCAGAAGAGAGCTCCTGCGCATGCTGTGCGCGGCAGTGCAAAGTCAACAAAAGACAGCAATACACATCATGGGACATGCATACAGGAAATGCTACACAGCTTTGAAAAATGACAATCATGAGTATCTGACATACCACTTATGAAAAGCAGACTACTAGATCGGGGGGCCTATACCCCATACAGGAATGTCTGGGTTCAAGTCCTGCCTCCCCACTTGGTATCGGCTGTATACCAGTGCATGTCCCAAGAGGCAGCAGGTGTTAAGTAGCTGGACTCCCACCACCCATGGGAGTGACCTGGATTTCATTCCTGGGTTCCGGCTTTGGCCTGCTCCAGGCCCAGCTAAAGCAAGCATGTGAGGAATAAACTAGCAGTTTATTATCTGTTTCCAACTTCTTTTCCTTGCCTTTCAAATACAATTTTGAAAGTTCTCCCTTTAATCTGCAGGCTTTAATTTTACAAGTACCTGTGCTGCTGTGTTATAAAGGGGTAGAGGAAACAAATAAGTTTTGCTTGGGGAAGGCTGTGTATCTGACTCTGCCTCCTCCCCACCCGTGAACTGTGGACCCGGGTTTCTGGCAGCAGCAGCTTCCTCCAATGCACCCTGATGGCCCACCTCAACAGACCGGCCATGCGGCTCCCGCCCAGGACTCAGATGCATCCCCCTCTAACACTGGCGCCCACCTGCTTCCCCAAACCAATGTGCAAGGCCAACTCTGTGTCCGCACCTGGATGACAGCAAGCACTTCGGGCAGGGCATTCTGCGTGGGGGGCACGGGAGGTAGAAGGCAGAAGAGGTGGTGTGCAGGTGCGTCCGAAAGCATCTGGAGGTCATTGGGGGAGTTCTGTGGGGTACAGAACAGGTCAGTGGGGAGCGCTCTGCCTTGTCCTTTACTCAATGCACAGACTGACCAAGTCCAGTCTTCCCGCAGCCACAGCAGGGCTGGGAGCCTGCAGAACCGGTGGACAGCCTCCTGCAGGCCTGAGCCTCCTCACAAGGGCACAAGGGACCAGACCTCAGACACTCATGTCTTTCACTGGCAGGGCCACACTGTGCAGTCCAATGTGAACCTGCCCCAGTACAAGACTTCAGAAGCTGCCATCACTTCTAACCCTGGCTACTCATGCCTTCCACTGAAGGACAGTCACAGAAATGCTATTTACAGCCTCAGAAAGTACCCATTCCAGCTGGCCCTGGAGTCTGTGAGACTGTCAGTTCCAGCTTGCCTTTCACTTTCCTCAGAAGGCCCAGCAGCTGGCCTCAGCACCACAGTTCCACCAGGCTATGATGCTGACAGCAGCGAGGCTTGCTCATAGGCAGACCACAAGGATACAGGAAGCCTTCGCGAGAAGCCAGGCTGTCGGCCCACCCCGGCTACCCTGCCTGCAGCTACCCTCTGCAAGCAAAGCTCGAAGTCCTCCAGGCCTGTCCACCACAGCAACCTGCAGTACCACGGCAGGACCCAGTCAGTGTTGCAGTACACAAGTCCATCCCAGCGACATGGGCACCTCAGTCGCTGGTTACAAGATATGAGAAGCTAGGGAAAAAAAGAAGACAGCTGGTGCTGAAGCTCAGCCAAGGCCAGCTACAGTTACCTTGTAGTGGGAAGCCACGTAGAGGGCCATGAGGCGCTGGAGGAAAACTTCGGAGGCCTTGTGGTAGCAGAACAGGGTGTCTCTGTTGACATAATAGCTGTGTCTGGAGTTAAGCAGCCACATGCAGCAAACCAATGCACGTCCCCACACAGGCCATCCAGGCAAGAGCAAGATTTACCTCACCCTGGGAGGAGGAACGCAGTCTCCTGAGCAAAAACACTCAATGTTCAAGGGGAAACATGAACTCTTCCTCTTTGCCTCATGTAATATCCTCTGGAACCATGAACCCCTCTTCTCAGCAACCCTTTCCCTTTCCCAGTGCAACCCAGAGGAGGATACAGCTCACAGGCTTCAGGCAGGGGGCAGCCCGACACAATGCGTGTGATGTTGAGGCAGTCGAGGCACAGCAAGTCGTTGAGCCACTTTTCCACCGCGTCCCCGGGCGCATATCGGATGGACTCCTGAAGGGAGACCTCATGCAAGGTGCGTGCTGCTCCCCGCCAAACACACACAGCAACAGAAAACCATCATGAGACACGGGCCATTGCAGAGAAAAAGGAGAACTAAGCATTCCATGCCATTTTTGTCACTCAGTGCCCAGGCAGGTGTGGTGTGGCTCAGCAGCTGAACTGGGCCGTTTTCAACTGTTTGGTGGATGTTCCACTTAACCAGTTCAATGAGCCAGTGCCACCTGCCCCAAGATGGGGAGAGAGAGAGAGAGGAGGGTCTGACCACCACAAGGCCCAATTCTGGCTCCATCTTGTCCCTGGGTAACTGTTCCTCAGGGAAAAGCCTCTCAGTTCTTGGGTGGGGGAAGGGTTCAACCTTTCTGCCTGCTGGTCAGGAGGTGTGGCACTGCCTGTGACATCAGAGGGGAGTTAAGATTTCAGCCAGAATCCAAGGGGCCTTGCAAGGAACCACGGGCTTTGGGACGGGATTGCCAGGGTACCTGAAGCCAGCCTGGCTGTTGTTGTGCTCTTGTTCTCAGCTGTGGTGCTGACTTGGCTCTGGGCACTCTGCTGACGGAGCTGCTGGATCAGCTTGAGGGACAGCGACCGGCCAGTGCCTTCGTAGCTATGACAAGGTGAAGGCCATGAGGCATGAGACCCCCTGTCCACTCCCAGTGAGGAGACAGAGCCTGTTTACACACCAGACCCTGGCTTCCCAGGGAGAGCTGTGCTCACTGCTCAGTGTCCAGTGTGTTACACACATTCACATGGTCAGCTCAGAGTTGCAGTCCGTCTCTTCAGTATCCTTGGCCCCTTTTAGTGCCATTCTCAGCAGCTGTTATTCTACCACGTGACAGGACCACATATGACATGGAATACAACTCTACAGGGCACAAAGATGATCACGTGAAGCCCCAGCAGAGACTGTATTGACACTTCTCACTCAAACATCGCTTTTAAGGAATGATCACAAAGTTGGATTCTGAAGTATGTTATTATTCTCACATACAACAAGGCTCTCCTTTCAAAATACTATTCACGTAATTCTTAACCAAAATACAATCAGCACAAATAGTAAAGCAGAAGCTAAAAATCTGCACTTTAAAAAACATAATGAAGAAAATCCATGTAAATAATGCATCTGGGACCCGGCACGGTGGCACAGTGGTTAAGGTCCTCTCGCCTTGCACGCCCGGGATCCCATATGGGCGCCGGTTCTATCCCGGCAGCCCCGCTTCCCTTCCAGCTCCCTGATTGTGGCCCAGAAAAGCAGTCGAGGACGGCCCAAGGCTTTGGGACCCTGCACCTGCGTGGGAGACCCGGAAGAGGCTCCTGGCTTCGGACTGGCATAGCATCGGCCGTTGCGGCTCACTTGGGGAGTGAATCATCAGATGGAAGATCTTCCTCTCTGTATCTCCTCTCTATATATCCGCCTTTCCAATAAAAAAATAATAAAAAAAAATCTTCAAAAAAAAAAAAAAGCACTACTCATTTAATAATAATAATAATGCATCTGATAAGGGAGCCTATCTGGAACATGTGAAGAACTCAATACAGGGGATGATAGCACAAGGGCTCTCAACTGGCTAAGCTTCCACCTCAAAGTATGGCATCCCATTTGGGCGCCAGTTCATGTCCCAGCTGCTCTTCTTCCCATCCAGCTTTCTGCCTGTGTCCTGGGAGAGCAGTGAAGGATGGCCCAAACCTTTGGGCCCCTGCACCCACATGGGAGACGCAGAAGAAGCTCCCAGCTTCAGATCAGCTCAGCTCCGGCCATTGCACCTACTTGGGGAGTGAAATCAGCAGACGGAAGATGTCTTCTCTCTGTAAATCCGACTTTCCAATAAAAAGTTAAAAAATAAAAACAAAAAAAAAAAGAAAAAAGAAAAAAGTGGGCAGAGAATCTCAGTAATTCTCCACAGATAGAAGATCAGGAGATGCCACTTCCTACTCACTGCAGAGGCCATGAGCTAAACGATGCCCGGCAAGCGTTCGACAGGATGTGGAAGAACTGAATCCTAGACACTGCTGTGGGACACAGCTGCTCCAGACTCCTGCTAACAAACCCCTGGGGGCGGCAGGTGTTGGTTCAAGTGAAAGGGTCTATACCGCCGATGTGGGAGTTCCCAGCTCCTGGCTTCAGCTGGAGCCTGGGCCAATGCGTCACTGCAGGTGTTTGGAGAGTGAACAAGCGGATGGAAGATCTGTCTTGTCAGCCCATCCCTCTGCCTTTCTAATACAGAAGCTAAAACAAAAATCAAGGTGGGCAGGCATTTGGTGGTTAAGACATCATGTTTTTTTTTTTTTTTTTTTTTAAAGATTTATTTTTATTATTTTTTATTGGAAAGGCGGATATACAGAGAGGAGAGACAGAGAGGAAGATCTTCCATCCGATGATTCACTCCCCAAGTGAGCCGCAACGGGCCGATACTATGCCGATCCGAAGCCAGGAGCCTCTTCCGGGTCTCCCACGCGGGTGCAGGGTCCCAAAGCTTTGGGCTGTCCTCGACTGCTTTCCCAGGCCACAGGCAGGGAGCTGGAAGGGAAGCGGGGCTGCCGGGATTAGAACCGGCGCCCATATGGGATCCCGGGCGTGCAAGGCGAGGACTTAACCACTTGCGCCACCGCGCCGGGCCCAAGACATCATGTTTTAAACTGGTTTGAGTCCCTGCTCCATTTCCAACCCAGCTTCTTGCTAATGTGCATCCTAGGTGGTCTCAGACGATGATACAAGTACTTGACTCCCTAGCCACCCCGTGAGAGACCAGTCTGACTCTTAGCTCTAGCTTTGGTCCAGTCCTCACTGTTGTATGCACTTATGCAGTGAGCCAGTTGACAGATCTATCTCTTCCTTAAAAATAAAATGAATAAAAGCTTGATATTTTTTTAAATGTACCTATTTATCTGAAAGGCAGAGTAACCAAGACATGGCAGGGAAGATGGAGATCTTCCATCTGATAGCCTACTAACAAATAATAATAAAAGGGCCCGACATGGTAGCCTAGTGGCTAAAGTCTTCACCTTGAACGTGCTGGAATCCCATATGGGAACCGGTTCGTGTCCTGGTGGCCCTGCTTCCCATCCAGCTCCCTGCTTGTGGCCTGGAAAAGCAGTTGAGGATTGGCCCAAAGCCTTGGGACTCTGTACCCTCTGGAAGAGGTTCTGGGTTCCGGGGTAGTGAATCAACAGACAGAAGACCTTCCTCTGTCTCTCTTCTCTGTATATCTGATTTTCCAATAAAAATTAAATAAATATTTTTTAAAAATTGTTAACGACAGACAGGTCTGGACCACACCAAAGCCAGGAATCCCATTGGGTCTCCCTACTTGGCTGGCAGGGGTCCATACACTTGGGCATTTTTGGCTGCTATCCCAGGAACATGAGAAAGTAGCAATAGGAAGAGGATCAGCCAGGAATGAAGCTGGTGCTCTAATATGGGATGTCAGAAGGCACTGTGGTGCAGCGGTTAAAACCTCCACTTGAAATGTCAGCATCCCTTATGCACTCTGCCACCTCGGTGGGGCACCCAGAAAAAGTCCTGCAACAAGTTCAGCCTTGTCCATATGCCAGGCTGCCCATGTCCCGCCAGAGATGGGTTACAGTTTATTAAGACGCCAGCTCCACCAGCACACGGTCAGGACATGCCGCCTGATGCGCAAGAACCTACAAAGGAGTAGGACCTCTCCCATGGTGCCTTACCCGTTGATGGTAGATGCCATGAAGACAAGGTAGGGGCCAAGCAGGCTCTTGACCAGGGGGAGGGGGATGGCGGCAGCTTCATCAATCACAACAAGTTCAGCCTGGCCCAGTTTCACAGCATCTGCGGGATGTATATACTGCAGGGAGAAAAATGTAGATGATTAGCTCAGCCAGCTGACTTCCATCTGTGCTTACTGATGACTCAGCAGCAGGACTGCTCTCCTTCCTTTCTGTGCTGTTCTTCCAACTTCTTGGTGAGGCAAGAATGGAACCAGCCTTGGGGCCAGCACTGTGGCACAGCAAGCTAATCAGTGAGTGGCCTGTGATACTGGCATCCCATATGGGCACCAGTTCATGTCCCAGCTTTTCAACTTCTGCTACAACTCCCTGTTAATGCACCTGGGAGAGCAGAAGATGGTCTAAATATCTGGGCCTCCTAGGGTGTGCCCTGGCGGGAATATGGAGTCAGGAACTAGAGCCAGGTATCAAACCCAGGTACCCTGAGACGAGATGTGAGCATCTAAACTGTTGGGCCAAATGCCCACCCCCGAACACATCCTAAAAACAACTGCTGAGTGTACAAGGCAAGCTGAAGGAGGACAAGTACAGTGTGTGCCAGATGGATCACTATGTAGTAACAATCCGAAGAGAGGAACTGAAACAACCTCAAGTCAGAATCAAGTTACCTACAGAGAGTGGCACACGGAATGAAGAGGCGCAAAGGAAGGCCTTCACTTGATCTGCAATACTCTTTTGTTCTTTAAAACAAAAGTAGAGATGACTTTTAAATAAGAAACATAGCAAACAGTGGAATGCTGAAGTTTCTTGAATGTGGGTGCCAGGCTGGTCCCTGCATTTCCCACCACTTCTAACCACTTCACCAGGGGCACACGGTGCAGAGAGGGAGCAGCGTGACTCATTCCGAGCAGAACACACAGCCTTGGTAGGACCCCAGCCGATTCTTGGTGCTTGGGGAATAAACAAGAATGTCTGTCCTAAAAGCTTCAGACAGCATTCCCCTAGGAGAGGCCAGACCAACTTTAACCAACCTCTTTTCCATCCCCAGTAAGACCAGAGAGGCACAAAAACGGAGCCTCACAAAGTCAGGCCACCTCCCGTGGCCTGGGCTGCAGGCTGTAGACAACAGGACTCCGGGCAACAGGAGAGGGGATCTGATTACCAAATCAAGAGCCAGGACATTCGGGGAAATGGCTTCTTCCTCCTCCATCTGTACATTCTCCTTGAGTTCTAACAGGCCTCGTATCCTCACCCCGCCTCCCCACCAACATCGTCAGTCTTCGTCCTCTTAGCTGAGGGCATCAAGCACTAGTGGAAAGAAGTGTCTGTAACGAGGAGATTCTAGGAGCCACAGCAAGAAAACAAGATCCTTCAGGTGAAAGGCATGAACACTTAACCTTGTTTATAATCTGCACTCTCAGATAAAAGCATACCTCAGACATATACTCTGAAGGGTATAAACTGCCAAGTTCACCTGGCTCACTTCCCATCGCCACGCTACTTCAAAAATAATCTATGAGCCCACTCCAGGAAGTGCCCATTAATCTCACTCCCTCTGGAAGCCTGCCCCAGGATGTGCTTTTGGAGATTACACAACGCCGCAGCTCTGGATGAGCGCAGGCCACTCAGGCTTGCAGAGCGCTGCAGATTTATAGACCTTTCCGGGAAAACAGCTTTAAAAGGAAGACAGGCCACTGGCTAAGCCCCGGAGAATATCTCAAAGTTCTTTTCTCATGTAAATGGGAGACTATTCTGCTAGTTACAGATGCACCATTTCAAAACCTGCAGCAATGACGCCAAGCTACAACTACTGTAGAACAAGGATCCTCTCTTCTCGGCCCCTTCCTCACCCCACACGCACACGACAGCAACTTTTCAGTCTGGCCGCACAGGGTGGTTTGAATGTGCTTTAGGAAGAGGTGGGAATTGTGGAACTGGTTTGTCATAAACAACAAGGCGATGAAAGGACACGCAATCACTCAGAGCCCATGAGACTCGGGGGCAGCCACGCACGGCCGGGTCGGGGCGCACCTCACCTGAATGGTCTGCCGATGCTCCCGGAACACGTTCACTCTGATCACAGCTTTGTTAAACTCAGGATTGAGGGACTGAATGATCTCATAATCAAGGTGCTCCTGTGGGACACAAAGAAAAACCAGAGACAGACTTGAGAGACTGAACAAGAACTGAGCAGGCAAGCAGGTCAGACGTCCACTGGGCATGACCCCGGCACAGAATCACTCAGTCCCCATCCCGGTGTCCTACCTGATACTGGAGAGCATCGAACCCTTTAAATACAAATTCAAACAGAGTGTGGAGGTTATCAGGGCTCGGGGAGGTGACGAAGATGTTGGAGTACCTACAGAACAAACAAAAAGGAGGCTGGCTGAGAAACTGTGGGCACGTTGAAGCAACAGCATTTGGACAACACTTCTGCTTGCTCCTTTCGTACAGGTGACCACCAGGGGTGACAGCAGGGGAACAAGTCAGGATGCCCCTTCGGGGTAGAGAAACAAGCTAACGCCCTGGACTCAGGTGTATTTTCCTCTCCAAGCTAATGAAACCACCTTAGCAATGTGTGGCAGAGCTACCTCATCTGTGAAAGCAAAATGCGGGTAAGCACCGTGGGGAGACCCACACCTCAGTGTGGGGTTGTGACAGGGCTCTGGCACCAGAGGGTCGGCCTCCCACTCAGCCCCAGCACCCTGGTTGCTGATAAAGGCAGCGGCAGCAGGAAGAACATGGGGCTAGGAGGGCAGGGCCTCCTGGGGAAGTCTCTGGAACTCCTGAGCCCAGATCCCGCCAGCCATGAAATGTCCACAGCTGAGGATGATGTGCCCAGGAACAGGCTGTAAATTCTAGGTCTGTTGTTACAAACCTGGCAGAACAAACTGCACTGGCAGTTGCGCCAACGTGCCCCACTGCCCCCGCCCCTGGGTAAAAGATAGCATCAGACTAAGAGCAGCTCCCCGGGAGGGTGGTGGGGGAAGAGCAGCAGGACCCCCGACAAGCAGGTCAGTAAGACGTTTCCTCAGCAAATCTGGTTACATCTGTCTCCCTGAGAAGTTTTCCAGCTCCTTCGCTCAAGCCTTGGCTTGTGTGTTCATCTCTAAGCAGTGAGGACAACGAAGGCTCTGACGTGTGCATGCACATAGCTGTGTGAGGGTGACTGGCAGGAAGCAGTGTTTTGCATCCCGCCAGCAACCAAGGGAAATGACCCCCACCCCAAACCTGCATGCAGCCCCCTCAACACCCAGAGTTCCCAAAGATGAGGAGTGGGACCTCTCACCCAAACGCCACGGCCCCGGCAATGGCCAGGCCCAGGGCTGCGGACTTCCCTCTGCCTCGGGCGGCTGTGAGCGCCACGGTGCTCCTCAGGGTCTTCTCTGAAATCCCTTCAATGAACTTCAGGACAGCCTTTGCCTGTGGGAAAAGGCAGGCACTGTGTGAGCTTTGAGAAACGCCGACATCCAGCCGCTTCCCAGCGTCACTGTGCAGCTAGGAGATGCAGGGACCAAAGCAAAGCGACAGAAAGCACTACTCAGCGGCCAGCCGTCCCACCCCGCCCCCGCCCCCTCAGTTTGGCCTTGACGCCTTTAACACTAACCCGTACTGACAGCTCTCCAGTGCACACCTAGGCCCCATATGCCAGACACAGGCACAGCTCCCCTGGGACAAAAGACATCTCAAGCCTAAAGCTCTGCCAAAACTCCTCCATCAGGTTTCCCCTAGCTCAGCTGACTGTCCAACTAATGAGGCTGAAGTCCTCAGCTCCCACAGCCAGTGACCAGCACAACAGGCAGAATCCTGCCAGGCATCCTTTGACATCTGTTTCTGACCACTCGGGTCAAGGCCACCACCCTGTCAGGTCTCCAGGACTCCCAGAGCCACCTCCCCTGTCCTTCTGCTGCCAACCTCATTCCACTAGTCTGGAACCAGCACAGAAGCCAGCATGTCCTCCCTTACCAGCTGCACTGAGAAGCACCTGCAAGCAGAAACCCCCAGGGCTACTGTCTCTTCTGCAGGGCTTGCACGGCCTCAGGGCCCTAAAGCTCTCCCTCTCCCTCTCCCTCGGGTGTCCAGGAGAGGCCCAGCCACACTCCCACCTCAGGGTCACATGCTTGTGGTTCCCTCTGCCTGATGCACTCGTCTCCAGAGAGCGACTTTTCTTGCTTCTTTAGCTCCTTCCAGGCCTTGCTCAAGCATCACTTTCAAAACGTGGCCATCCTTGATTACTGGATCTACTGCGACAGTGCTCCCACCTCCCCAGTCCCACACACCCTGGCTCTCGATACTTTTTCCTTCTTTCCATGACACACAGCACCTCCAGCTTAGCTCATGATTGGCGAGTTTCAGAAGACAGGTTATGGGAAGCAGGTGCGTGTCTCTTGTTTATTGCCAAGCCCCAAGGCCTCGAAGAGGGCCTGGCACCTGGATGGGAAAGACTGATGCCAGCAGCCCTGAATGAGAAGCCTGCCATGGCTCCATGGCTGGCACCTGCCCTGGGAAGGTCAGATGGGGTAACATGACTGGCCCTCAGCAAGTTGCCTCAATGCTAAGACGGTGCAGACGAGACAAGCCCAGGCAGACGAAAAAAGGGCGCTTGGGAAGCCAGTCTCAGGTGGAAAGCCTCAGTGAGGATCCAGGCCCTTATTGGCTTAACCTGGTCTGTCCGAAGGCTGTAATTTGCCCCCTTGAAGTCATAAACTCGAATAAAACACAGTGAGGAAAAAGTCACTGACATAACCAAAGGGAATCAGACCTGGATTAAGAACATGTTCGGCAATCATTTCCAAGAATGAAAAACTAACACACATAAAGACAAACCCAGTCAAAAAATGGACAGAGGACATGAGCAGAACACAAGCAACAAGCCGACTGATGGCTGGATGAAGACACCTGCCTCTCCCCAATGAGAGCAAGCCGATCTAAAACAATGGCTCTGTGTTCGCACATCACCAGGTGGATGAAAACCCCAGGCTTACGGAACCCAGCACTGGCACGGCTGCAGGGCAAAGGCACTTGCAGCCACTGCCAGGGGTTGCATTAACACCCACTCTATAACACACGCAGCCTCTGCCCCAGCAATTCCTCGTGTGCATCCAAGATGGCATCCACAAGTTCATGGGGAAGTGGAACCAGAAGAGAAGGTGTATTTTTCATGAACTTTTTGAAGCCCCTTTGCACAATGCCCACAGCTGTAACTGTAAGGAAGTCTTAAGAGCTTTGCTTTTGATAATGAACTAGCCAAATGCCTGGCAGATGCCCCCTTACAGGCTGTAAGAGTTAGGGAATTATCACTTATATGCAGAATTAACTAGTAACAGCAGCTGGCTCTGCAGAGTGGAACTTGCAAGTAGAAATACCACTGTTTAGTGTTATTAATGTGTACTCTGCGTTCTTACTTTTTTCCTTTCTGTTTTGCCATCAGCCATTTTTTTAAACACCACTGCCAGTACTGTTTCCCCATTCTGTCTCTCACTCCCTCCCTCTGGTGACTCAGGGCCTTCCAGAAAATGGTCGAAAGCATCTCATAGCCCACAGACCGGGCTGCACATAGTGCTATACAGCTGGGAAGCATGTGCCCAGCCATCGGGATTCAGCCCCAGGGTGTGGTGTCACTGCAGTTGTTTTCCAGCAGGAGTTCTCAGCCCAGCACTGAGGGGCCTATCCAGGATTACCCCCTGAACACACTGACAGCTCAGAGGCTCCCAGCTCGGCCCCACCAGTAGCCAGGATGACCCAGGCAACTTTGCTGGTGTTGGTCAGCGTAGACACACACCCTGGCCACTCCCACCAGATCAGCTGGGACCCCCAGAGGGCCCTCAGCAGCCCTAACTTGGGCCCAGGGGTAGGTTTAAGTGGCTCAAGCTCTCTTGCATTTCTACCAAAGCTATAAGCAAGAAAAGAAACCTTCCTGTCATCAAAGCTAACTGAAGTGACAGAACACAAGCTTGTCCTCCCCTACCTTGGAGAAAGCACTGAGGGGGTCCTCTTCAGGTGTGACCCACCTTCCCTTGCATCACCTTAGTTCGCTGAGCTGTTTGTAGGCATTTCGGGGTCAGGGAGCACCACTCACCTGATCGACGGTCTTGCAGCAGTCCACAAGCACACCTACGGGCTGCGTGTCCTGTAGGCTCTCCTTCAACTCCTGCAGCTCCAGCTCAGAAGGACTGAGGTTCTCGTCCTATCGGAAGACGGAAAGGAGGGGCTTGTCGCCACCATGAGGGAAGACACAGCCTTCGCACATGCATGGCCCCTGCCACCAACTCACCGGCGCCTGCGGTGGGAGGGCCTCGATGCCAGCAGCGTGGGAGGAGATGGGCAGGATGTTGAGCTGGTCGTCGATGACAAGGCACTTCTTACAGGAGGCCAGGGAGAGGAGAAACCTGAAGCACAAGACCAGGGCAGTGAGGGCTCGGGCAGAGCAGGCAGGGCCCCGAGTACACAGCAGAGCAGAGGGGCTTTTCCTCAGGAAACTCACTGAAATGCCAGACTCCAGCAGCAGAGCAATGAGAGGAGTGGCAGCCCGCTACACGGAGTACCCACCATGCCATCCACAGGCCCAGGGAGCACACTCCTCGAGGCGGAGCAGCAGCACACCGGCGGTATGCCAAGGGCCACTGTGCCACCATCCCCCCGCTCTGCCTTCATCCTCCTCAACTAACTCACACATGGTCACCAACCACGCAGGGAAGAGGACGGACGGACACACACACACACACATGAATTCGCCTTCTGTTACCACAGAGAAAGAACACAGCCAGATGGGGAAAAGAAGGGCTCCTTGAGGAAACAGAGCACAAGCTTTCCTGCACACAGACACGCCTGGAATCCTCCCATATACACGGCAACACGAGGCTGCCGGCTACTTCAGCAGGCTGCTGGGCGGGGCGGGGGCATGTCACTGCTCCTCCTGCGCCAAAGCAGCACAGGTGGCCGAAATGACAAAGGCCCCAGGCTTCATCATGCTCAGGATTTCCAAGCTCAGGCCAGTGGACACTGTGAAGCAGGTGGTACTGTGGTGCGGCCGTGCTGTGCACTTGGGGTTTCCAGCAGTGTCCCTGACTTCTACTGACCACAGGCAAACAGCGCCTTCCTCTCAACTCCACCCCAAGTGATCACTGCTAATCACAATGTCTCCACACATTGCCAGACGTCTCTCGGTGGCAGAAATCATCGTGGAGAACCACTGATCTGGCCAACGTTTCCTAAGGTGTCTCACACACAGGCTGCGAACATGTGGTTTCCTAATAAAAGGCACGATGAGTAAGATAAACTTGGGAAACGATCACTTCAACAGGCTCCACTGTTGTCAGACTTATTATAGAGGTTACCACTAACGAGTGTCCCCAAAGGAGAAAGTGCTGCCAGCGTTTCCCAGGTGCGTCTGAGCAGGAAGTCCTGGGACCTGCAGACACCCGCTGGAAGAGCTGGGCTCCGTCAAACACCTCACGGCAAATAGTGATCCAGACAAGTCATGTCTTGGGAAGGTGAGCAGGCTCAGGGCTAGAGAGGGACAGGGACTTGGCTATGGCCGCGAGGTAGGACAGAACCAGTGGCAACACGGAATCCCGGTCCCCTGGCCCAGCTCCCCCCTCGCTGCTGCTGCCAAGAACCCCACCGGTTTGGGCCCGCTGCTCCCTCTCCTGATACAAAAATCAAAACTTTCAGCTGCCTCCAAGGCAGAAACAGCCCTCCCCTAAATCCCCTGGTGACAGTAAGAGAGTAAGGCGGGGACTACAGCATGTGCTACAGACAGACCTACCTCTCATTGAATCGTCCCACCACATCCTGATGGGCCTCAGTCCTGTACCTGGAGTGCACGTCCTAAGAAAGCAAGACAACATCCAGTCAGGAAGTCTCCCCGGAGGGCCAGGGCCCAGGATCCCAGCACCAAGTTCCGTCAGCAGACCCATCAACGGCCCTGCTGGAAACAAAGGCCATTCCAACACACACCACCCGCCCTGCGCGATCTGCTGCAGCTGAGATCACACGTTCAAGGCCATGTCCCTCACTACGCTCTACTCCCCCTCCCTTCACCTCTGACTGTTCTTGTACAGGCTCCAGTATCATAAGGCATAGTCATCTATTCAATGGAGTCTACAGGCCTCATGCCAGACCTGCTGGGCACACGGCAGGGGCCTTTCCACCATTCTCAGGGGGCCTAGAGCCAGATGGCACAGAACTGAGACAGCCACATAAGTAAGCATAAATTTTGACAAATGCTATAAGCAAAATACAGGCTGTAATGACAGCAGATGGTAGGACCTACTCAGTATACTGAGAAGTGAGCAAGGCACTCCCAGATACAAGCTAAGCCCTGGAGGACAAGCAGGCAGCCACGTGACAAGCAGAGGAAGAAAACAGCTCCCAGGGCAGGGTCTCTCACACACTCACAAGCAGCACCTGGGGGGCTCTGAATGCACGCCAGCCCCCACTGGGGCCTAGGAACACCACACAGGTACACACAGACACCAAACACTGGAAAACTGCAAGGGGCTGCCCATGGCCCTGGGAAAAACAGGTCAGGGGAAGGGAGCCTGGGGAACCCGCTCACTGCAAACAGCAGGAGAAAAGGCCACACACACTCAACAGGGACTTGAACTCAGACAAGCACACGGCGGTGAGGAAAGCAGGTGTGCTGGGCTTGCTCAAGCAGGCCAGGACTGTGGGGACAGCGGGTGAAATGACAGAAAGCGGCCAAGAGCTGAGGAAAATCCATCTCACTAGAGGAACACGGCTCCCAGAAGCAAGAGCTACTTCTGATTCAGGTGCCACCCTGATGGCAGCCACACCTCTTGTCCCATGGTCAAAGCTCACAGGAGTGAGACTCGCACTTCTACATCCATGAGAACGAGGGTCAGCAAGAAGAAGAAAGCCTGTACACATTCCCTTTTTTGGCAACACACAAATTTGGGCACGTGGATGGAACCTGGCCAGACTCCATTCCAGAAAATGTGGCTGCACAAATCTGCCGCGCATCTGCATCTCACCAGAGGACGGTTCGCAAATGCCGGGGAGCAGATGTGAAGTTCGGAGGTTCCCAGGGACCCTCTGTCTGCAGCAACTTCATCTTTAGCTGCCACAAGATCAAAGCTCCCAGCTCAGGAGGTATGCTGAGTCTTCCCGAATACTGCTCACGAGAAAACTCCTGCACCCAAAGTGAAACGCTCTGAACCCACAGACGGAAGGCTCCAATCACCCTTACCATGGTCATTGTGTACAGCTGCTTGAGGGAGTTCATTGTCCTCAACAGGATAACCACTAGCCCGCCGCCTTCCACGGTTTCCACGGTCCTGGCCAGCAAGTTCGGAGTTAAGGCTTCGAAGTCCTGCAAGGAGGAGACCTCAGAAAGGGCCGATGGGGCCAACAGCATCCCAGTGACATGTCCCCAAGGGCCAGGTGGTAAGGCAAACAGCTCCAAGCGTTAAGCCAGGGCAGTGCTGCCCCCAGCCCTGACTCGAGGAGTTCCACTGACAGCTTTCATTGGGGCACCAGCGTACAGCCTAGCCTCTAACAGGTGCATCTTGTTTACACTACTCTGCAAAAGTATTACAGCTGGGCCCAGTGCAGTTGCCTAGTGACTAAATCCTTGTCTTGCACATCCCAGGGTTTCATATGGGCGCCGGTTTAAATCCCGGTGGCGCAGCGTGGCTCAGTGGTTAAGGTCCTCACCTCGAACACACCAGGATCCCATATAGGCGCCGGTTCTAATCCCAACAGCTACACTTCCCATCCAGCTCCCTGCTTGTGGCCTGGGAAAGCAGTCGAGGATGGCCCAATGCTTTGGGACCCTGCACCCGCATGAGAGACCTGGAAAGAAGTTCCTGGTTCCCTGCTTCGGATCGGCGCAGTACCGTCCGTTGTGCTCACTTGGGGAGTGAATCTTCAGACGGAAGATCTTCCTCTCTGTCTCTCCTCTCTGTATATCTGACTTTGTAATAAAAATAAATAAATCTTTAAAAATTTATTTTTATTATTTTTTCATTGGAAAGGCAGATATACAGCAAGGAGGAGAGACAGAGAGGAAGATTTTCCGTCCGATGATTCACTCCCCAAGTGAGAGCAACGGTCGATGCTATGCCGATACGAAGCCAGGAGCCTCTTCAGGGTCTCCCACGCGGGTGCAGGTTCCCAAAGCTTTGGGCCGTCCTCGACTGCTTTCCTGGGCCACAAGCAGGGAGCTGGAAGGGAAGCAGGGCTGCTGGGATTAGAACCGGCGCCCATATGGGATCCCGGGCGTGCAAGGCGAGGACCTTAACCACTGCGCCACCGCGCCGGGCCCGAAAATAAATAAATCTTTTAAAAAAAAAATCCCGGCGGCCCCACTTCCCATCCAGCTTCCTGCTTGTGACCTGGTAAAGCAGCTGACGATGGCCCAAAGCCTTGGGACCCTGCACCCATGTGGGAGACCCAGAAGAAGCTCCTGGCTCCTAGCATCAGATCAACTTAGCTCTAGCCATTCTAGCCACTTGGAGAGTAAACCAGCGGATGGAAGCCCTTATCCTCTCTCCTTCTCTCTGTATACCTGCCTTTCCAATAAATAAATAAATAAATAAACAAACAAATATTTCAATCATCTCCCAATAAAGTCCACCCTTCACTAATTCACACATGAACTTGAGAAACAACTTAGCTAGCCTGTGACATGTTTAGAAACTGCAGTGATTTGACTCAACTACACCACACGGGGGTGCTAGTGCTCAAGGGAGCCATCCTTTCATACCCTGGTCATGATCTGGCTTAGACACTCCCCACAGGAAAGGAGGGGGACACGAAGCTCCTCTTGGCCCCCAGGGCAGGACTGGGGCTAGAAGTGCCAGACACAGCTTAATTTATTCCTTAATTTATGCTTTATCAATTACAAAATCAAGCTCAAGTGGTATACATGAAAATAAAAATAACACAAAAAAATGTGGGACTTTGTGCTTGTCTGGGAGTGGCGGGGTCGGGGGGGAGCACATGTGTCAAACAACAAAATGAATACTACTGAACTGGAAATAAAGAAAACCATGAAAGTCTGTTAAGTTATCTGATCACAGGAAACACACCAGGCGAGGAGGCCATTAGCCCCATAATGAATGACACCTGCACCCCTATCAGATGCACTGGGTGGACAGTGAGGGCTTTCTCAGGGTGGTCACATGACTTGCACACTCTAGAGACGACCTAGGGGTACACAGCTTGGTTCCCAGCTGGTTACAACAGGTTCCCCTGAGCGCTGCCCAAGGAAGTCTTCAATGAGTGACACACTCTAAGCACCTTGCGCTAGGGCATACACTTGGCGCAGCAGCTGAATCACGAGCTGGTTACACTCGCATCCCACGCCAGAATGTTAGACTGAGTCTCAGCTCCTCAGCTTTATGGTAACACACACCCTGGGATCAGCAGGTGGTGGCCTCAGTACTTGGGTCCCTGCCACCACATGGGAGAACCAGACTGAATTCCATACTTGCTTCAGCCTGGAAGAATCCTGGCTGTTGCAGGCATTTAGGGATAAATCAAAGGATGAAAGATTCCTTTCCATCTCTATCTCCATATATGAAACAAAGAGGAGGCTGCCAGGGCTTCCTCAGTCTTGGTTAGGACACTTGCAATGGCATGTCACTCTGACTTGTGGTATTTCTGCACAAGCGCTAGTTTAAGTCCAACACTCTTTTTCATATGGGCTGAGTGGAGTGGTCAACTCTCCCACCAACACTTAAGGGCAAGGCGTGTATGTGAATCTTCTCTCCCTACCGTACCCCTGTCCTCGGTGGGGAAGCAGGCAGCCCTCAGCACCTGTCTACCCTCTGACACCAGTCACAGGCAAGGAACAGACACCTACCTGCAGGACACACATGCCGAACGTGTTGCCCAGGATCTTGTGGGTCTCGTTGTAGTAACAGTAGCGAATGTTTGTGGCTGCTACGAAGAGCTCAAAGGGGTCATCTTGCTTTATGTTCAAAGTTCCATTCTTTATTTTCTTCTGCAGCTGCCGCATCCTCTTTTTCCGATGACTACAATCAACCCCGACGAGGAAAGCCAGTTACACAGAAAGGCTACTGTAATTGGGAACAGAGCCCATAAAGACACCTGCATCCCTCTCAGAGTGCTGGTTCAATTCCTGCCTCCCAATTTCAGGTCCCTGCTAAAGCAGAGCCTGGGAGACAGCAGGTTAGATGAACCAGGTAGCTGGGTCCCTGCCATACTGAGATATAAGAGACCTGGATCCAGCTCCCAGTTCTCCCAGTTCCTGGCTCAGGCCCATACTAGTACTGGCTGTTGGGGACGTAGGAGGAGTGAACCACTGGAAGGCAATATTGTCTCTCAGATTCAAAAAGAGAGAGTTGGGAGCAAGGTCAAGGCTCTGTGATGACCCTCTTGGGCCCTCAGAGCTTGCAGCAGACTCAGAATGGGGGCCAAGTCCCTTGCTGTAAAGGGAACAGAAGTAGGAGCACTGGAGCAGGCTGGCTAAAGGTTTCTCAATGAGACGGTACATATGTGAACTGGTCCACTGCCTTCCTCTGCACCTTGAGCAGAAGCAAGACTGGTAAGGAGGGAAGAGGGTGACATGTGGCCCAGCAGTTAAGATGTCCCTACCTAAACTGGCATACCTGGGCTTGATTCCTGGCTCTGATCTGGACTCCAGCTTTCTGTCATTACTAACCCCGGGATCCCTGCCACCCTCGAGGAGACCGGGACTGCAGCCCCAGCAGGTCTGATCAGCGTAGAGAGTAGAAAGAGAAACCATGTGTGGGAAACAAGGACCTGCAGAGGCAGTAAACAGCAACAACAGTTCCTGGGCCAAGGAACTGTCTCCTGGCATTGAACTAATCAGCATATACTACAGGTGGGGAGGGATGCACCAAGGGCGCAACTCACCTGCTAAACCCCAGCTCCTTCTTGTAGCACCACAACACTGAAGGTCGAGCCCTCACACTTGCTTTGGACAACATATGATGGAGTATCACCACCTGCAAAGAAAGGTATAGAAGCTCAAGGCCAAGAGCCTTTAGAAACTGCTGCCTAGACCCAACCCAGGAGCCTAATGGATAAAGCCCTCAGCTTGCACATGCCAGGATCCCATTTAGGCACAGGTTCATATCTCAGCAGCCCCGCTTCACTTACAGCCTGTGGCCAGGGAAAGGAGTTGAGGACAGCCCAAAGCTTTGGGACCCTGCACCTACGTGGGAGACCTGGCAGAAGCTCCTGGTTCCTGATCAGCTTAGCTCCAGCCATTGAGGCCACTTGAGAAGTGAATCAGTGGATGGAAGGTTTTTCTGTCTCTCCTCTCTATAAAACTGACTTCCCGATTAAAAAATAATAATAAAGCTTAAAAAAAAAAAAAAGAAAAGAAAGAAAAAGAAACTGCTAGTGGCGGGTTTGGGATTAAAAGTTCCAACACACAGGCCGAGCACATTGATTCCATTAGCTGATCTCCCCCTTACAAGCGCCAGGATCTGGTACCAGCTGCTCCACTTCCCATCCAGCTTCCTGCTTGTAACCTGGGAAAGCAGTTGAGGATGGCCCAAAGCCTTGGGACCCTGCACCCACATGGGAGACCCAGAAGAAGTTCCTGGCTCCTAGCTTCAGATCAGCTCAGCTCTGGCTGTTGTTGTTGAGAAGTTAACCAGTGGATGGAAGATCTTTCTCTGTCTCTCCTGGCTTGTATCTGCTACTGCCTTTCCAAAGAAAATAAATAAATAAATAAATAAATCTTGAAAAAAAGAAAAAGGCACCGATTTGTCTGTTAATCAACATCAATATAATTGACCACTTCCAGGGAATGAAGGGGAATCCTGACATAACGGCCTTGTGTGCTGAGATCTCAGGTGGCCTACCACAAGCTGACATTTCGGAGATGGCAACCAAGAAAACACAAGAAGCGATCCCCAGACCTTACCTGATCTTTTCCTCGATCCCCAACTATAACAAAGAGAGACCGCTGACGCTCAGCCACCCCATTCTCAATGAGAATCCGGATGCGATTGTCCACCTTCTTCCGATGCATGGTGGCAGATTATCACTGCAAGACAAGGAAAGGGCATACAACTGCAGAGAAAGCCAGACTGCCTCTTGCGGGACCTGGGGTGCAGCTAGGCACACTGATGAACACCCTCCTACTTAACCCTCAAACAGTTCCATAAGGCAGAAAGCAGCCTCAGCTGTAAAATTCAGAATCAGTGTTGGGAGGTGAAAAAAACTTGCCCTCCACAGGAACAGCCAGAAGGGAAGCTGTAATCCACAACTCCACCAAGAACTTTTTAAAAACTGAAAACTAGAGGCCAGTGTTGAAGCATGGCACATTAAGCTGCCGCTTATCAAGCTGGCATCCCATATCAGAGTGCCAGTTCACGACTCAGCTGCTCCACTCCTGAACCAGCTTCCTGCTAATGTGCCTGGAGGGCAGAGGAGGGTCCAAGTGTGGGAGACATGGATGAGTTCCTAGTCTCCTGGCTTTGGCCCAGTCCAGCTCTGGTTTCGTGGGCATTTTGGGGAAGAGGGAGTAAACTAGCAAGCCTTTCTCTCTCTAATAAAAGCAAGTTGATATGTTTCACTCTTACAGATAAATAAATATTTTAAGTTGGAAACTTCACAGTTTCAAAATAAAAATACCCCAGCTCTACACAACTACCTAGGTTGCTTGTACCTAGGCAAGTGTTTCACTGCTGGGAGAAAAGCAGTCAGTAGCTGATGGGCATTCTGGGCTTGGCTAATGCCAAACCTGTGTTAACTATATCAGCATGTCAGCATAGCTACCTATTCTGTGTGTGTGTGTGTGTGTGTGTGTGTGTGTGTGTGTGTGTGTGTGTGTGTGTTTGTATGGAGGGAAACACCAGGCCAGGACATGCCACATGCCACACTGCCCCTAGGCAAGTGGGTTGCAAAATGCCCAGGGAAGGAGGTCTGGGGAATGTGTTGGCATGGGAGTGTCTGCGGGCATGTTTGACAGGGGAGAAATGACTTCTAGGGTTCTTTCATGGGCTGGACCACTACACTTGCAAGTATGTGGGGGAGCTGAAACAGTGGTTTAGAGGGAGAACCAGAGGACATATCTGGGTTAAGCCAAGGCACGTGCACATGTAGGAACCCTGAGCTGGGCTAAGTAGCATTTCCCGTCACCAAATAGTATATGCAAAAGTTGGGCCTGGGGGACATGCCTGGCTGGGATAGGCCATAGTTCCCACCCATTAGTATCAAAGCAGGGAGTGGGCCACATCAGGTTGGGCCACAGTACCCACCAAAATATGCAAAAAAACTGGATCTAGGAGCAGACTGTGTAAGGGACTTGTGGGCTCCTCTCTGTGGGACTTCATTATCCACCAATCTGCACGAGAGAGCTGGTGTTGGTGACAGGCTGAGCCAGGCTGGACCACAGAATTCACCTGACACTCCCAGGAACTGGGGCGGGAGGAAGGCTGGGCTGGGCCAGGCTGCAGCACCCACTGGCACATGCAAAGGCCAGGACTGAGGGCAGACCATACCAAGCAGGGCCATTGACCTCCCCCCCCCCGACATACGTAACATCTGGAGCTGGGAGCAGGCCTGGGAGGGGAACATGAGGAGCTCCCTGCTGGGGCACAGTATCCACTGACAGCAAAAAAAGCCAGTACAGGATGTGAGTCATGCCTGGCTTGAAGTATCCTCCAGCACATACAAGATCCAGGGCTGCAAAAGGACTGGCAGGGGAACTGAGGGCACGCCTTGCTGTGATGCAGCTCCCACTGGTGAGCCTGACTGCCAGGGCTAGCGGCAGACCAGGTTGGTCAAGGCAGCAGGATCCATCCACATATACATGTGCGTTGGGTGTGGAGGCCAGTTAGGTTGAGTTAAGCTTCAGTGCCAGATGGGATGTGGGACAGATTAGACTAGACCCACAACACATGCAAGCACACACAAAAACTGAAGCTGGGTTGGGCCTGATGGGGGCTATTGTGGACCAGCCCTAGTAGGCTGCAATACTCACTGTATGCATAAGGACTGGGCCTGTGGCAAGCGGGGCTGGGCTAGGATGCAGCACCTGTCAGTTTGCATGAAAGATGGGACTGGGAGCAGTACTGACCAAGCAGCTGCATCCACTGGCTGGCATGCACAAGAATCAAGTCTGAGGTCATACCAAGCAATGTTTCTTGGGGGATTCCCCAACTAGACCACAGGAGTCAAACCCTGGCCACAGAGAAAAGTATAATCTAAGTATAATCTATAATCTTCTTTTCAACAAGAAAAATAGTTGGAGCGCATGTATCAGGACTGGGCATCTTCAGTTGCTAATGCCTGTGAGGCGGTCATCATGCCCAGATACCCAGATACACGGGGGGTGGGGGGGGTTGCGTGACAGCCGGATCATCTTGGCCAGCAGGGGATGTCGAGTGTCTCACCAAAGGATGGAAAGCCAAACAGGTCAGATAACTCTTCTGCAACAACTTCCTGCACTTTGTTAACCAACAGACCTTGGAAAAATTTTCTCCACCCTGGGCAACACAGCCAGTGACATCTCAAAACTATTAAAACCAATCTAGCCACACTCTGGGAACACTCTTGCCCATAGGGGTCTCTAACATGTCATCACAGGGCCATCCCCCATCCCTGGGCCCTGATGTAGTTTGACAACAAGGAGGGGCCCCTTCCCCTTCCGCCACTGAGGACACAGGTGCCCCACCCACCTTCTTCCATACTTCTACTCTCCCCACCCTAATTGTGTAGTCCTACATGGGTGTGCATCCCTCTCAGCTATGTAAACATCAAAAACAAAATTGAAAATTTAAAAAAAAGTAAAAATAAGAGAATGACTAAAATATGCATACATTCAAAGCATTTTCAAACACCATCTTAGGATACAGACACTTGAAGGGAGTCTTTCATGACAAAATGAAGTATGCTACCAGTTTTATGCACATACCCAACGGGGCTGGGGGCAGGGGGGAAGAAACTAGCTGAAAACACCAACAAGAAAAACAGTTGTTCCTGGATTGTGGGACCAATTTTTATTTTGTTCTTTCAGTTTTGAGAGATGTTGTTTTAATTCACATGTGTTAACTAATAAGGCCAAAGAAAAACCAATGAATATTTCTATTTTGCAATGTTTCCTAAGCGAGGAAAACTGTGACTGTCCACACTTCAAGCGCCATGATTACCTGCAATCACACACTGTATCATTACCACCCCAAGTCTCCCCAAGTAACCTCAAGCTGTATGCATCACACGCTGCTTGAAGACACAGCCGGCTACATTCGCACTCAAAGCTCACTAGCTGCCCCTCTAGCCTCCCAATGCAGGAGCGCCGGTCGACATGTAAAGCAGCCAGCAGCCTAAAGAATTCAAGTAGCAAAGCAAGGCAGGGTTAATACCCACGTTGGCCCCAGCCTGCTCCAGCTCACCAATCTGACCAGCTCCAAGGCACTTGTTTGCAGTCACAAAAATCAAGCAATAATGCTGGGGTGGGACGATGGGGACGGTCTCGGCTTCGGTTACTACGGAAGTCCAGAAGCACCGGATCCGGCCCTTGACTTCAAGACGGGATAGGGAAAGAAGAGTACCAAAATAACAGCGATGTACAGGAGGTTGGGTGAAGGTTAACACGGAAGAACTAACCGAAGAGGAGGGCACGGGTGTTAGAGGGAAACTTAGGTTTCATCAACTCATTTTTTCGCCTATCTGGACACAGTCATCTATGAGCCAGATACCACCCTAAAGCACTGGCCAACAAAGTCCTGCATGTGACCGCCATGTCAACAGTGTAAACGCAGGTGTAAGGTGAGGCTCATAGGAGCGAGGGGGCCCAGGGATGTCAGCGCCTCAGTGCAGCACAGCCCCTGCCTCAGAACTGCGAGCCCGGCCAACGCTGCCACGCACCCCTCCACCGTGCCCCGCCAGATCTGCCACGCACCCCTCCATCGCGCCCTTCGAGTGCTGCCACGCGCCCCTCCACTGGTCCCTCAAGTGCTGCCACGCGCCCCTCCACCGGTCCCTCAAGTGCGCCAAGCGCCCCTCCACCGCGCCCGGCCAGATCTGCCGCGCACCCCTCCATCGCGCCCTTCGAGTGCTGCCACGCGCCCCTCCACCGGTCCCTCGAGTGCTGCCACGCGCCCCTCCACCGGTCCCTCAAGTGCTGCCACGCGCCCCTCCATCGCGCCCTTCGAGTGCTGCCACGCGCCCCTCCACCGCGCCCTTCGAGTGCTGCCACGCGCCCCTCCACCGGTCCCTCGAGTGCTGCCACGCGCCCCTCCAGCGGTGCCACGAGCCCCTCCACCGCGCCTCTCCAGTCCTGCCGCGCGCCCCTCCACCGTGACCCCGAGCCGGGTTCCGGGAGCGCGCGGCCAGAGAGCGCACGAGCAACGCGCTGACCACCCAGGAAGGGGCCGCTCGGCGGGCTCTGAGGTCGCCCCTCCCAATGTGGCGAGGGCACGGACCCCACACCCACCCCAGCCACGCAGCGGTGGGTACCTGAGTCCCGAGCCAGCCGATCCCTGCCGGCGAAGGAAGCACGTGGAAGAAATCAGTAACTTGGTTGGAGGCGGGTGCTTAGGGAGGCCCGAGTTTCCTACCCAGACGCTGCTTCGGCGCATGCGCGAGCGACCTAAATTCTCGGCGACACTGACGGGGCCTCCCTTACCCCGTCGCCTCGCGATGACGTCACGAGCACCGGAGGTGGCACCCAGCCTAAATTTTGGGTATAGCCGTGGACCTCTCGGCGACCGGGAGACCAATTTCCCTCTTTGGATCGGGAACGCAGGACTGAGCAAGCACGTAGCTCCCCGCACTGCCAACAGCGACCACTGCGTTTGGGAGGTCCGCCACTGTATGCCGCCTAGCATGCAAGGGCTTTCGGTATTACCTGGTGTGTGCGCTAGCTTGTCAGTGTCCTTGAATAACCGCTTTAATGCGAAATGGAATCACTCTATTCACCTTACACTCCATCCCCGCAGTACTGAACCTATAGTTCCACGGACTCGTTTTTTCCCACCTTGGCGGCCGAACTTTGCAGGGTCCGCTTCGATCTGGTCGTCAAAAGTTTAAGGTCTTAGGTCAGGAAAGCCCTTTCTCATCTCCCAGGGGAATTTGTTCTTGCGCAAGTTAGGGTCACCTACATATATTTCGGCAGTTTTTGGGCCAGACAGCTGCTTGCTTGATGTTTTTGGAACCCACCAACTTAATATTCGAGATCAGTTTTCCTTTCGCCTAAGAATTCCTCCCCTCAATATATACCCGCTCTTAACCAGTACCACCAACCACCAAGTTCAAGCCATCTTCGTGTTCTCTTCTGATCCAATGTCAACATACCAAAAAACTGTTCTGTTCACAACTCCTGGGAAAACATGCAACTCTGGCTTTCAAGTGATCAGCGGTATGGAGAGGTGGAGAGGGAAGCGTCGGAGGTGAAGACACTGGAGCAGACCTTTTAATCACAATGCACCCTGAAGCTGTTAAGTGAAAAGCTTTCCCGAATGGCTAACCAGCCAGTGGAGTCACAGCAGTGAGAAAACATTCGACAGTAGGCCAGATAGATAATGCAGGGTATGTGCCCCTGCACGTCCAACGTTTCCCCTCGAAACCAGTTAGTGGGGCCAGCGTGATGGCTCAACTGGCTAATTCACTTTCAAGCGCCCACATCCTGTTTGAACGCTGTTGTGTCCTGGCTGCTCCACTTTCCATCCAGCTCGCTTATGGCCTGGAAAAGCAGATGTTACCCAAGTCCTTGCGACCCTGCACCCAAGGAGCAAGTCCTGAAGAAGCTCCTGCCTTCAGATCAAATCAACTCAGCTCAGTTCCAGCCATTCAGGGAGTGTACCAGCAGATGCAAGACTTTTTCCCAGTCTATCTAAATGTTTTTCCAATAAAAATCCACCCCCCCCCAAAATCCGCTTTTAAAAAAGACAGCTGATGCACAATCACTGTATCATAGGCAGAAAAAAGGCCAACAGCCACTATAGTTGGCTGTTCCAGAGTGTGATGGTGGTAGTGTTCCCAAGTTTACAGTAAAAACCCCAAGACAGATCCATGAATATTTTGTATTTGTATTGCATGAAAGGAAATAGATGGCAGCCCGAGCAACTGCCCCAAGCAGCAAGTTGGAAGAAAAGCAGCTAATGCAGGGAAATTAAAAGGTTGACGTGAATCCAGATGATGGTGTCTCAGGTGTTTAGACTCTTCAAACATTTAGGGCTTTTTGAAACACTAACTATACCCTATAAACCACTGAACTGGACAGATGACCTATGTAAAACCACAGCTGCAGACTAGAGCCTGGAGAAACTGGTAACTGTTAACTAGGTAATGGCCACGAAACAAAGTGCACCACCTACTTTTGTTTGCACTACAGCCAGTTTCCATGTGAACTATACTCTAAAGTGCCCTGTATCTCCTGTCCCATTTTTAGAATTGGAAACTTTATTGTTACCCACCATTCCCACCCTCAAGCAATACACACACAGCTTAAAAACTAAGTTTTGGACTATAGCTAAGACAATAAACTTTGAGAAAATTCTAACGCTCCCCAGCTGGCTCTTATCAGTTTCTCCACCATACTAATCCTTGCTTCCTCCATGTGAAGCAGGTTTCGGCAACAAGTGGAGATTGGATCTTTCAATCTGCTTAGTTTACTTATCCTTCAAATATGAGCTCAATTATTCCTTCCAATGCAGTCTTTTTGGGTCGTGTTCATATCCACCAGTCATGGCCTTTACCAGTGACAACACTTCTGTCATTGTTTAGACTGATTACAGTTAAATGAAAGCAGGAACAATTTTTGTCACCACCAAATACCTGGCGCCTTTAAGTGTCTCCCAAATATATACAAGATAATACTTTAAAAAAACAATACAGGTAAGAGAAGCAAGCCAAAAACTACCTACTTTAACTAGTCTTTTTAAGCTGGTCTTCACTTGTTATAATACGGTATGATGATACTCAGGAAGCATATAGTCTAGCCTTCTTGGAAGATTAGGCCAGCAGTTACGTTGTTCAAGCCTTTTCTGTTCTTAAGTAACACTTTACTTTAGCTCCCATGGATTGTATATACAACTGAAGCCGATTTTGCTCAAGGACAACAAAGCAATCAGGTTTTCATATAATTTAATCTACTTGGAATTTGAAACAGTTTACTAATATTGAAAGAATTCGATAGAAAAAGCTATAGAACTGAGCCTTAACAATCCACTTTCCTCCATAAAAGGAACAAGAACTCGTGAGGAATACTGATTTTTTTTTTTTCAAATGTAATTTACAATGCAGAAAACTCAGAATGTTTTAGGAAGAACTTAACCAGGATGCAGATTCAGGAGCTAACAGCGGAAATGAGGGTCTGAATCCAGGGCTTCCCTGCATCCCTTTCCTCCTCATCAGATGTATTACTGAAAATACAATAAGTACAATACAAATTTCCTAGAACAGAAAGCTGACTGCTGAACTAACTACCTTCTACATTCTATCAGCTGGTCATCAAATGAGCACCTCAGATAAAACCCTGACACTACTCACACGCTTTCATGTCTCCAACAGGACTAAGTGGAAAAACTCCCACAAAACAAGATTCTACATTAGGGGAGAAAAACCAACTACTTGATAGAAAAACATTCAGCCAACATTTGCTTTTTAATATCAAGATACAATGATTGGAAAAACTTCGTAAGAATATTAAAATCTAGAAATAAAATTCCTAACCAAAGTAATTCAAACGGCATTCTACCTTTACTAAAAAGCTTTGAAAAAGGAAATCTCATTATCCACAAGATAATTACTGCATATGTACAAAAAGTCTTGTTATATGTGGTCTTGCTACACCAAGCGGCTACGTTGACAGGTGTGACAATCATCTCCTATGAACTCTGCTGAAATGCACATGACCTAACAAAAAGCCTTCTGCAGCTAGGTCAAGTACTAACACACAAAATACTTAGTACCAAGATACTGAGACTTTTTGAAAAGTCCTTGCCCTGTAAAGAGATACTCCTTTTAAAACATATGACCTGAATAAAGACATAAAAGGCTTAGATTTAAATGTGGTAGAATTAAAAAAAAAAAAGCACTTTGAAAAAGAACAAATGATTCTTTTTAAAAAGCATAGACAAAATAATCAAGCTACAAACATCTTTACAAATTCACATCTGCACTAATGCATAGAAGTCTGAAACCTAGAAGGCATTTTTATCCCATTTCCCTCTAGACCGATTCTTGTAGATCACTATATAAAGAACTTCTTTCAGTTTTGATCTTAAATACCACGAAATTCTTCCTTGTACAGGTAAGAATTTAGTTTTATATAGGATCACCAGCACACATCTAGGGATTACTTGGTAAGCAACAAGCATTTCACCCATCCCAAGATACAGCTTACATATGGTTGTGGTACATCCCAGGCAAATATCTAAAGCACGCAAGGGGAGGTGCTAGCAATAGATATACTCATTTGCAAAATTAAACATATAACCCTTCCCATATGATGTACCACAACCACACATGAGGAAAGTCAAGAACTTATTTTATTTTATTTTAAAATAAACATTGAAGAATCCCCATTTCCCACCACCCTACAAAATTTTTGAATGTGGAATGTTCAACAGCCTGTCCATTTTATCAGGTTACAAAACCAGAAAAACTCCAGTTGTCTAATGATGAATGAGAATAGCTTTGTTTGTAAGTAGCTGAGCACCTACTGGAAAAATCCCATAGCTAAAGGCTGAAAACAAAATTTAACTTCTGCACAGAAAATTAACTCCGTAGCCTTTGCTTCATTGGTGGAACTGATTCCCCACAACAAAGTGGAAAGGGACAACAAACAGCATTAAGTTCAGAGGCACACAGAACTAGTGCTCAGACTGCTAGCACAAATTCCAACATGGTACATGTGGCTACGTCACTGCCCTGTCTTCACTGAACTTAAGCTCCCCTATACATCTAAGGGACAATACCTCCACTTTGAATATATATGCCTTTGTGATAAAAGGAGAATTAGGGGTAAATTAGAGAAACAGTAAGTGCAACTACTATAGAAGTAGCTGCTGGAGATAGCCATATAAACTTGTGACACTAACAATACATGTGATGAATCATAAAAGGTGCTAACTGTTGAACACCAGCGTTTCCAGATGCAACTTTGATAAACATGTTTTATTTGTTTTGCTTATACCATCAGAACTGGAACTACTGTCATTTCCCTTAAACAGGGAAATCAATCTAAAACACATACTGGTGCTTTTCAAAAGATAGCAATTTTAAAAGGGTGATAGCAGCAGGCATTTGGTATCTTTTAAAAACGTTCAAGCTGCAGGAAAACCATGTGACCAAGAGTACTATGATTATCCATTAGAAACTTTCATCAATACCTGTACCAATTTAGGTGACAATACATCAATATCAAGGATTAGTGACAGACAATGTACATGTCATAAGGAATGATGTACTACCAATCCTTACAAAGGCCATTGTCTCCAAGAAACTGTTAAATGTTCAAAAAGGTTTCTAAATACTTCACATTAAGTACAGAAGCGGCCATCCAGATTATATCCCATACTCGTTGTGTATTTTCAAAATGCCAATCAGAACCTAATTTATATTTGTATCTGTCTTATACAATATCAGCTATTATAAAGCATTTTATATGTTTATAACCACTCGCTTGGCCAGATGAATAATGAAAACTGTGTCAAAGCTGGAAGCCAGTCTTACAAGTGTGAGTAAGGGCCCATGCATAATTTGCTATGCATCTAAACATTTAATGCTGCAATTGAACAGGAAAAGCTGTGAAATGCAGCTGTTCTGTCAAACCACATTCCACTCCTTCTATCTTCCTTTCAAAGAAAATATTTTAGTTTTGTCAATTACCATTCAATTATTTCTAGGGCTGATATGTATATTTTATCCCATGTCCAAAAAGCCAAACTTGTTTTTCTAAGCCACTTCAAATAACTATGGAGATATCACCCCATCATGTATATGTTTTACTCCTAAGCAAAGGTGAGGAATCTGAGTATCATGTGCAAGGCTCAAGATGACGCTTAGGACAGAACATGCAGAGTAAAAATAGTTTCCTTCCATATCCAGGTAATACAAAGCTGACAATTGTAGTCCTGTCTTTATGGGATGAAAACAGTCCCTTTACAACGTTTCCTGAAAGGGAGAACAAATAGATAATAACTCTTCTGGTAACATATTATGGTACATTGGCCAGTGTGTTTTTGGCGATTAAACATAATCCTGTGAATCAGTTTAATTCACTTGCTGAGTGTTCATTTGCGGCATCCCTCTGTTGGGTCTTGGGGGCCCTCCACGACCTAGAAGACAAAAATGGCATTTGATTTTTCTTTCAAATATTATTTGTTTTGCCTTCAAGCAGATTTTCATCTGAAGTCAAGAAGCATGTGGGCAGCTCGTCACCACATTATTAGGCTTAAGAAGTCAATTCTTCAGTGTTCAAGTTTCACCTGTCCTGGGAGTGGTCATGCGCAAACTTGCTCATGTTCCCTAGCTAAAAGAAGAGTAGAGCTAATGGAGTATTCCACCAGTACTCATTCATTCATTCATTCAACAAGTATTTATTGAGTGCCCACTGTGTGCCAGGCACTGTCATCAGGCGTGGGGAGTAGATACAGCAGTGAAGACAGACAAGGTACCTGCTCTCACGGAGCTTCCATTCTAGTATACACTCTAACTTACAGTTCATTAGTAATAACATCATACTATCAAAATTAATAAAAGCACCAGAATGAACAGACCTTATTACCTAAACTGTTAAAAGAAACTACATAACATTCAAAATTGTATGACTTATAACAGATAAAATAACTTTTTACATGCTGTTAAAACAGATTTTTAAGCTATCAGTTAACTTTCATAGAATGCTACAAGGTGGGAAAGAACACAACCCACATTCACATGCAAAAATCCTTTGATACTTCAAGTCAGTTACTCCCAAGAGATCCATTATTTAAAAAAAAAAAAAATTGCACCTTTTTGCTGGCCAGTTCTAACATTCCAATCAATGTACTTTGTAATTCCTCCTTAATATACATTTTTAAACGTGTTATGGGGAGGAATCTATTCAAAGTTTAACCTCCCTCAAATCAGAGAACCATTTAGAACTTCAGATTATATGAAATGCTAGTTTCAATTGTTAAAATAGTTTAACTCCCCGCACAAATAGGAAGCAGTTTTCCAACAGTAAAAGGCAAACAAAACACTCATAGTTAATAATTTGGGAATTTTGTTTTTCAAAAATGAGAAATAACTTGGTATTTGTCTTACCAAGTGTTCCAAAAGACACTGTAATTTCATTAGTTCTATCACTTCTAAATGGTTCTCTAAATGTTAACTATAGCTCATCTGGCCATAAAAGGGTTTTGGGCCCTAAAATATAATATGCATGTTTCAAAAATCAAATAATAATAATAAATTTATATAAATGTTCAATCTCATTCCAAAAATCTTACAAAAATGTTTCAATAAGTACTCCCTAAAAACATTTACCAGGTTTTAGGACCTGAAAAATAATTTTCAGTTGGAAAAACATTTTTTCTGAGGAAAATGTTCTAACTTTCAAGACAGTGTTATATTTTTAACAGGGAAAGTCATTCAAAATTTAAATTTTGGGTTAAAGATTCAGTTTTAGAAACAACGCATTTCATTTAATCCCCAGCAACAAGTCTGGAAAAGATCAATGGATTCCTAACATGTAATCCACATGCAGACTACGAACAGCTCTTCCAGGCCAGAACAGATGCTCTGCTTAGGAGCTAGGATCACCACCACAAAATATTACCTCGTGGGGCTCCCCGTGGTCCACTCTGCCCAGAGCCTCGCTTGAAATTCTGCTGATATCCATCCTAAAAGACAAGCTAGTTAGTTTGGAGCAAGAAACACCAATTTTTCAAAAACATTAACCCAAACCCATCCATCTGTGTTGTTATCATTTCAAAAATTTCAGTACGCCTCAGCTCAAAATTATTCTAATTGTTGTACTTCTTTTATTTTAGTAACATCCAATAAACCATTATTTTACTACTCTTGAAAATCAGTATTTTTTAACAGACTTCATTAAATTGACTGCCTTTTCATTCTGATGCAAGATGAGCAGCAATTCTGCCCATGTCACGGATGTACACACTGCTCAGTATCTCCCTCAGCCCTGCTCAGGATCTCACAGACCTGGCTCGTGGGGCTGCCCCTTGCACAGTTCTTCAGGGGTGAAACAGGAGGTAAAAGATATCTCTCTATCTCTCCTTCCTCTTTCTCTCTCCCTCTTTCTTCCTCCCCATCTCTCTCACCCATCACTCTGCCTTCCAAATAAATGAATTTTTCAGAATAAAAAGCTTGTGTGAAACAGGGTTATAAGATAATAAATAAATAAATAAATAAATAAATAAAGTGCCTATTTATGTTGAAACCTAATAGAAAAATCATCATTTTCTACAATGAAGTTATCTTGAATCCCACAAATTAGCCTCAGATTACTTGATTCATTCCCTTTCACTGGCACAGTTAAGTCAGACTTATACTACCAAGTGACTGTACCTACCCGCTGATAACCAGAGTAGTCCCGGGGAGCACTGAACTGAGACTGTGTGTAACCAGTGTTAGGAGTGTTAGAGAATGAAGGGCGGTAACCATCATATCCTCCTACAATTTAGGACAAGAAAATAAATTATTTTCTTCATGTCATTTTTATTAATGGTGAAGAAAAAAACAAAGTTATATGTCATGTTATTTTCCCAGACTAATTTGTAATTTTCTATCCTGAACAATCTGTTTAAACATTTCTGTTAAGTATTGACTGCTTAAGAATTTTCACCCACCTATGTACATACATGAATGCACACACACACACAAATCCTTATGAGAACTGGCATATACGCATATAATAATTATCCCTTAGAAGTCTAAAGACAACACTGATTTGACAAAAAGCACTTCTCCCCTTGTGTCATTTAGAACAAACAATATGTAAGAGGCTGATGCCTCTAAACTACAGGACATTTCTATACATTTTCATGAGTCTAAGAATTTTGTAAAACTTTGTCCTTACCTCTGAATCCATTGGCAGGGCCCCGGTATCCATTCATCAATCCTCTAGCACCACGGGAGCCTCCACGAGACACACCACGACTGTTGTAGTACGGCTGATTGTTCCGTGGAAATCCACTGTTCTGCTGTGGGGGCTGCTGGTGGTTGCCTGTCACCTGATGAGGCTGGTCCTGGGAACCATGGTAAGGGCCAACCACTATAATGAAGAAAAAAAGGAAAAAATATACCACACAGGCACACAGTCATGTATACACAGCTGGTTACCATTTTGTTCTGCCACATGCTTTCTGGTTTTGCTTTTATTGCAATCTCTTTAAAACCTATTCTGAAGTCAAGTAAATTTGCATATTAACAATAGAATAAAAACAAATAAAATCCCTCTTATTCATATTTTAAATGGAGTAAAATTTTCAAAGCAATATACAAAATGCCTTGCTTCTAACTCAATTGAAAGGCTGTACTATTTAACATTTTCTGAAAGACCTTTTTTAGCACAAAGATCTTCACTAATAGAAACTTTCTTAAATACTTAGTGTAACTGTCATTTTGTGCCACTTAATTACCCATTTTCACTGTAAGGTTCCTCAGTTGTACAAGTTTTATTTAGATTTTTAAAAACATGTAAAACCAGGCTCTCATAATTAAGCAGCAATATGGCAAAATATACGGGCATTAGCAAATACCTTCAACTTAAAACACAGTAATAAGGCTTCAATCAATTAGTATTGGGAAAGCTTAGCATACTTCCATTAGTTTTACTTTCAGTAAAAGCTCAGTAACCAAAGACAAAAATGGGTTTAAAGCCTCCAAATTCACATAAAGTAAGTACGCAGTCAATTTAAGTCAGTGTCTCCAATCTGTCCTAAGTGACACTTGTGCTCTTGCCTGTTTGAAGCTGTTCTTGCTGGAGCTCTGTTTGTTCCACTTGGTGAGGCTGACTGGAAAAGCTCTGGTTGTAACTGGCTTGGTATTGGTTTTGTTGTTTTAAAGTTTCTGGTTCGTTAACAGGAGGCACGGGAGCATTCATATTGAACACCTGTAAGTGGTGGAAGTCAATGATTAATTCATTTATTTCGGGCTTTTAACACGGTAGATCAACATTGACTACTTCAAACAAAAATGAAATTCCAAGCATACAAACATCACAGAACTTGCTTCATGTACTTTAAATCTGAGATTATACTAAAAAAAAAAAGTAGCTCAGATTTTAAGGAGACTGCAACAATATGCTGTGAAATGAAAATCCAAAAAAAATCTATATCACCCACCATCACTAGCCTTGGAATTGATTTTTTACACCTAAGAAACCTTTTTAAAATATGTAAACCTGACATAACAACACTTGCAGAAATTTACTCTATGACCTTTAACTTTTAGGTTAATATTTATTTTTCATTTTTAGATATTTTAATCACAAGTCAATATTTTAAGTATCTGACCTTGAACATCTCTAAGCACTGATGCGGTTTTTTTCCACAAATCTTTTTTTTTTCCACAATCATTATTTTACAGTTATTGTCCAATTTAAAGATGCTTACTGAGTAATTAGGAAGAAATTTTCTGAAATACTTCAACGAAAGAGTAAGTAAGCCAACAGGGCTCAACTACCTGCCAATAACTGTTACACCTTGGAAATGATTCCATTATATGGATATGTCAAAATTTAATGCTTAAAATTTTGTTAATAAACAAACTACATAAACTACAAAGTAAATACACAGGTACATTAACGCATAAGGCATTAAACACAACGTGCAATCATGTACAATCAATGCAAACTCACAGTGAAATGGAATCCTTTGGTTCATCTACCATGATTCACACCACATCCCATCACCTGAATCGGCTTGCTTACCGTTTGCATGGACTGGAATGGAGCTGCGTTCACATTGATCCCACTGCTATGCAAAGGCTTGCTTGTCCCAGCCTGGAACACCTGAGGCTGAGAAGCAGCAGGAAGGGACGATGATGCTGTAGTCTGATCGGCATTTAAAGAAATCGTTGCCTAAAAACAAAATGAACACATTTCCCTTATCGGTAAGTAAAAATCACTTATATGTACTTACAAAACTATCTGAATCATGAAAGCCAAAACAGGTCCAAAAATAGTCATTTACGCTAAACGCAGTATACCTCTCAGCCATTTTAAAGAGCCTCAGCAAGTTTATATGACCCGGTAACAAAACTTGCCTGAATCTGATCAATTGGTTCCTTCTGTGGCCGCTGTTCTGCAGCATGAGAAGGCTGATACAAGGGCTGAGAGGCAGTGTATCCCTCACTTGTGGATGAAACCAAAGGAACCTAGAGGTAAACACGGTTCTATTAACAAAAATGACTAAACATCTCCAACACAAGATTAGGAAATACCTGTTAAACAAGGGGAAAAAAATGCTACCTCTCTAGAGTAGTTCAAAATTGCTCTCTGAATTTACAGACTAATAAAAGTTAACAATTGCAAAAAAAAAAAAAAAACATGTATTTTTGAAGCTCAAAGGTAAACTAATTTTTGTCCGGTTATCATGCCCTCCAGTTGTTATAAAATGACAAAACTACACTAAATTTTGGATCAAAAATGCCTTCTGAAATACTGTTTGAATTTATAAGCGCTTCCTTAATTATAACAAATTACTGTAAACATAAGAATAAAAAATTTTTAAATAAAGAAAAAAAACAATTAATGTAAAAAAAGTGAAACTGTAACCAAATGCATACATGACTTTCATGAACAGAGGAAGAAACCTAAGCACTGATTAAAAACTAACATGAAAAATATTTGTAATTACTCTTACCTGTGTGGCTTCTGGCTGTACAGGAACCTGATTAGGTTGAGCAAGTCTAGATTCAGAATGAACTGCAAAATTGATCAAAAAGCTGTTTTTACAAAGTCTAATTTCTTGAAATGTATAAAGATTAACTACTAGTTACTAAAGGCCAATTTCAATAATCAAAAATATAAACAGTTTTTAGGGCCTGGACTTTAGGCTAGTGGCTAAATTCCTCACCTTGCAGGTTGACAGGATCCCATATGGGCACAGGTTCATATCTCAGTGGCCCTGCTTCTCTGCCAGCTCCCTGCCTGGGGCCTGAGAAAGCAGTGAGGATGGCCCAAAGCCTTGGGACCCTGCCCCTGTAAGGCAGACCCAGAAGCTCCAGGCTCCTGGCTTCAGATCAGCTAAGTTCTGGCCATTGTGCCGCTTGGGGAGTGAAACAACAGACAGAAGATCCTCCTCTCTGCCTCTTCTCTCTGTGTATCTGCCTTTCCTGTGTATCTGTGCGGGTTGAACATTTGCTCTCTTTCCTCAGTATAGATGGGAGACTTTGGAGCTCTCCAAACATTTCCTCATTTCATTGTTGTTTATCATTTATTTAACATAACGAATGTTCATATATTCTCCTGTGAAATTGAAGCACCTAGAGCAATGATGCTTTAATTTTTATTTCTAGATTAATTTTATAATTTAAAAGGTCAGCAGGGGTAGGCAATTACCCCAGTGACTGACACACCTGTCCCCTACATCACAGTGCCTGGGTTTGGCGCCCAGCTCTGGCTCCCAACTCCAGCTTCCTGCTAAAGCAGACCTTGCGAGACAGCAGTGATAGCTCCAGTAACTAACTGGGTTCCTGCCCACCACATGGGAGCGAACTGGACTGCAAAAGCATGCAAAGTTGCTCTATGGCATTATAACAAAATAAAATAATAGAGCTGGGAAGAGAATAACTTGTAACTGAAAGGCAAAACAAGGTAGTTTTCTGGGGTACTGGTACTGATAATGTTCTATTATGATCTTAGCACTAGTGCATTCACTATGTAAATGGATCAAACTTGCATGCATTTTGTCTATATAACAATAAAAAGTTTTTAAAACTACAGAAGTTAAAAACTCTCAACAAAAATACCAAATTAGAACAAGACACGAAAAATAAGCATACAGCAAAAAGAAAAAAATTTACAAACTATGTGCACCTGTCTACCCAGTCTTCTCCCACAATGTCACTGTTACTAACCAGGAGGGCAGACGAGCTGGGGCATGTCCATGCTTTGCGTTGGATTCATAGGCTGTGCAGATACAATAGCAGGATCAAGTGTCTGGTTCTCAAAATCCAGCATTGAATCCTACATAAATTAGGATATGATGTAATGAGTTCAAATGTCAAATTAATGTAAACACTTAAATGCTCAGCTAGTGTTATTAAAATGCACCTACCTGTATGAAATTATAGGGCCCCTGCATCTGTGCCATCAGATCCTGTACTCGCTGTCTTCTCACAAGGGGGTCGGCCTGAGCCACAGGAGCCAAAGAATGCGTCTCTGGTACTGAAGGAGATGCAGCCTGGGGTTGCTGCTGGAGTGAATTCACCACCTGTGGTGGGAGACAAGGGAGGGCAAGGGAAGAGTGAAGAGGTCCATTCACCACCACAACTAGCCCCACACTACTTACGCCATCTACACTGTCACACAACACTTAAACGTAGTTACTCAGACCCCATTTTTTTATACCGAATTTAACATCTGACCAGCAATACCATCACTTCAAGCATCTTCAGCTTTATAGGTCATAGCAAAGCACTACAGATTTACTTTATAAACTGCTTTCAAACAAAGACTTCTTTAGAAAATAATGTATTCTGCTTTGGTCATTAATTAGGCCTTCTGAGTCTATCTGAGCTGGGGAATCCTGTCTTAAGTTTTATTGACATCAAATTTTGTCCCTTTTGGTCTTGCTTTTAAACTTGGTTCAAGTCCCAGCTACTGAATCTAGGAAATTAATCTTACTTTCTTTATAAATTAGGGCATTAAAAATTGCAACCTAGATAAAGTGGTAGGTCATGAAAATCAACCAAAGGCCTGCTACTGGCTTTGGATGCTGCTCCAAAATTCCTAGGATTCAAGGTAGATAGCTTGATAAAGGTCGGTCTACCACATCCAATTACATGTTCTTTCCTCAAATAACAAAGCATTTAAGCACAAAGCCCTGTGGTACTTCCCAACCTTTTCTTACCACATCAATACATATCATTCATTCCAGTGTTCAATAAAACCTAAGGCCAAAGGTCAGTATTGTGGACTAACAGGAAAAGAAATACCACCTATGACACAAGTTCAAGTCCTACCTACTTCACTTCCCATTTAGCTTGCTGCTAATGGGCTGGCAAAAGTAGAAGATGACTCAAGTACTCTGGCCTTACCACCTACATCAGGGACCTAGATGAAGCTCCTGGTACCTGGCTTCAATCTGGCCCAGCTCTAACTATTGTAACCAACAGCTCCTCCTCTCTCCCTAACTTTCAAATACATAAATTAAAAAAATACACTAGTAATTCATTTCTACTTCTACATTCATGCTAACACATACCTGTTTTCTAGAAGCCCGAAAGAGACACCCTACTTATTTACGCTGAGGACCCAACAGGTGCATACCTCTTACAGGAGCTGTCATTTTAAGGCTTTTTATGATTTATTTCTCTCCTAATCCTTCTGGAACATTTCTGAACTATGTTCCTTAACTTGGCAAATACACACTGTTTTGTTAGGGACTTATGATAAAATAATCTCATACTTAAGGTTTTCTTCATTAACAATATTAAAAGTACATTCCTTAAATAACTGAATGCTATTTCTTAGTACAAAGCAAGACACCTAAGTAAAACAGGATGAAAAGAAAAACTAAACCAAATGATGAGGCTTTTCTGCTTTTCCAATATATCTTTTGGGTAACAAGACATCAGCAAAGAGTTTCAAGTACAACTAACATAAGGCTAATTTTTTTTAATAAATAAATTGTGTAATGAGTAACGGTTTGGGAGCAGTCAATAGAGAAAAAAATACGATGAGTGCCACTGAACTAGGAATGAGGATTTGAAAAAAGCTTATCATAAGTTAACAGACAACAATAAGAAACACTAGAGGAAGTGTACAGTCTGACAACCAACCATAAGTAAAGCAGAAGCCAGTGACATTCCCATATCCACCAAAAATGGCAGACTGTTCTGATGGTTATCCATTTGGGAACTCGAAAGATTTTTAAAAAGCAACTTGGAAGAACTTTGAACTAAGAAACAATATACTTTAATAATCCACAGAACATGTTGCAGTTTTAAATAAATGTTATCAGCAAAGCAGAATTACTATTAAACATCCACAGGGATAAACAATTTTCCAAAGTAACAGTCTTGTAAAACGAGTTTATTATAATAAACGTAGCATTAACACAAAAGACTAACAATCTTAATTTGTCCTCAGGAGACAAAAATTACTACTAACACAAAAACGTCAACCTTGCAATACAGAAAACTCTTACCTCGACTGTTTCAACTGTCCACTCATCTACCTGCTCCTTTTCACCACTGCTGAACTGTGTTTCTGCCATAAATTGTCTATTTACATACTGCAAAGCAAAGTAAATGTTTGAGACATCTCTGTTTGAAAGGTAGAAAGGTAGAGGCTGCATCAAATCAAAATCATACCTCTGTTGATTCAACTTCACTTTGTTCAGCGTATTCTTCTGTTGGCTCAGGTTCTAAGAAATTAAAAATTAATGCAAAACAGATTCAGTAATAGTGACTGTCATTACACCTTTGTCCAAATCCATAGACAGTATAATGACAAAAATGAACCTTAACATGAACCATAAAGAATAACAATGGCAGACCACTGGAATTCATCAGTTGTTAACAAAACAGCACTTTGGTGGGGGAAGTTACCATCTACTGATTCATTCCCCAAGTGCCCTCCCAACAGTCATGTAGCTAAAGCTGGGAGCCAGGGACTCAAATACAGTTCCTAGCTTGGAATGCAGTTACCTGAACCATAAAACTGCCTCCACTTTTAGGAAGATGGGATCAGAGGTCAGGACTTCAATGTGGTATCTTAATCACAAGGCCAAAACACTCACTCTACAAAAACGTATTTAGAAAATTTATGTTTATTTCAAAATACTTCAATTTCCAATAATATGCTAGATCACATAAAATGTAAATAGAACTACTACAAGTAAAATTTTCCTCATTCTCATTTGTAATAACGTAAAACAACAGCTGACCACTTTGCTTTGTAAAGGTAGTACAGCTGGGAGGGAGAAGCCACAATGCTATATGCGGGTTCCCCAACTCCAAATTTTCGACCATGTGCAATTTTCTCTTTGGTTTCAACCATACCTCATGATCATCATTTCTTTAAAAAAAAAAAAAGGCACAAAAGTAAATACCACATGCCACCCCCTAAAAACACTTCACATACTGAATTCCCAATGGAGAACAAAACTTAGTCATTTGCTCAATTCATCAGGGTTTACAGTGATGAAGCAAACATTTAAATCCAGACTAAATCAAACTGAAATCCCTTATAATTGGCCCTACCATCTCCTGTCCTGCAATCTTGTACCAGAAAAATCATGTTATTTAAAATGATTAAAACTAATAGGGCAAATAACTGGTGCAGAATAATCTTCAGGTGCTGTGCTTCGTCATGACATTTTGTTATGCTTAGCTTCTTTAAAACATCCAAGTGCACATAAGCAATAAGTAAATGTACGTATAGCTTAAGCTTGTGGCAAAGCAAAGAAAAACCAGGCCCCTAAATAAAAACTCCTATCTACGCACGTACTCACCAGCTTCAGTCACTTGGTCTTCAGCTGGAGGTGCTGAGGCTGCCTCTTCTTCCTCACACAGCCCATTCTGGTGGTTGTGGGTGCTGTCAAAATAGTTGGACTGAAAAACACGCTCAACAATTTCTTTTAAAGCTTTATCTAAAAAAAGAATATAAATTATAATGTTAGACTGTGACAATGCCTGGCTTGAAAAGATTCAATAATCAAAAGCATACTGTTTCAAAAAAAATCCACCTAATCAATGCTTCTCAAACATGAATAGAGTAAGATAAGAAACATGGACCCATTTAGACCTTTTATTTAATCAGAATAAATAGCTGACAATATTCACTCAGTAGATATTACTTAGAATATACTATCTTCTATAAAAAATGTATAGTAACTGGGATAGGCATTTGGCATATGGGGCCATGTAGGACACCCACAAGCCACTTCAGAGTGCCCGATTCAAGTTCAGGGTGTTTTGCTCCAGGAATGGCTTCCTGCTATTACACCCTCAGAGGCAGATGACCACATGACTCAAGTATTCGAGTCCCTGCTACTCAGAAGGAAACACAGATGCAGCTTCTGCCTCTGCATCAGCCAGGGCCTCGGCCTCTATCACCATGGCCATTTGCGCAGCAAAGCAGTGAAAAGATCTCTTTATTTCTGTCTCTCCCCCTCCAATTTTGCTTTTCAAAGAAACAAATCTTTAAAATCTTCTCGAAAAAAGGCCTATTATCTCACCCTTCACTAAGCTTACAGTCCAATAAAACAAGTGTCAATTATAAAGATAGTAAAACTCCGTCTTTTAAAAAATAGAGGTACACAGACCTTTCTGGGACAAGGACTAGCAGAGCTGAGATGTCAAAGAAGCCAAAGGGAGAGAAAACACAACATACAAAGTCCTGAAGCTAGAAGTGCATTAAACACAACACTATAAAACAAGAAATAAGAAAAAGGAGAGAGGAAGCTGGAGAGGGACACTGAAGGACCAAATTAGGAACGGTCCATGGGTCTATGAAAGAAATGCCTATAAAACAGAAATGAAACCACTGCAACATTTTAAAGCCAGAAATGGGGTAGTCTAAACTAAGTGATGTTTTTTGATTTACACAAAGTACAAACTCAAAAAAAAAAAAAGGTGTAAAGAACAAACCAAGAACCAATGAATGAATGCTATAGGCATGTACTTATTTCATATCTTTTTCACTTACATTACTTGCAAGTAGACAAACTAATTTTCTAGCATTCTTAGCTACAAAACTAAAGTTATCTGTAATACTCACAAGTTGTTCCACACACAGATTTTTCTTTCCCCTCCAGCAAGTCCCACAAGTGAACAGAGGCATGTTCATACTGTTCGTTCAACCTGGAACAATAATTTAAAAGCTAATTATCTCTGGGTAGTCAAGACATATTTACAAAAAATTCTATCTCGAAACATCACTATACCTCAAGCTCATGTCTCGTTCAGGGTCTACCAACTTATAAAATTCATCCAATAGTGACAATTCCTCTTCAGAAAGTATTGGCACTCCATTCAAACCTTGTTTCAAGTCAGTTCGCACTTCATCATCACCCAATTTGTCCAAAACATATTGCAGTTCAAGTACAGTTTTTAAACGTTTTTGTTCAGCTTCTTCTCTCATAAGCTGCTCCCGACGAGCTGTCTTCTTTATCGTTTTCTGAATCTGCGATATAAACATAAGACACCTGAAGTTCTATCTTTAGTATCTACTACTGCACAAAACCCATCACTGCCCCAGGCCCTAAAACAATCCATTTCTGCTATCAAAAAAGCATTGTACAATATACTGAAAAGTGACTATAATGGATATTTTTTATGAACAGATGCTGGAAGAGAAAAAATTAATCACAGACAGCTAAAACTAGGCATGAATCCCCCATATCAGGGACGGGGGGGGGGGGTTCTCCCTTTATCTCTTTTATCCCAGAAACAGGAAAAAAAAAAAAATGTGTAAATAGTCTAACCAACTTTCCTGTAGCCCTTGAATCTTTGTGCCCTAATTAACTATGTAAAGATTGTTAAAAAAAAAAAGGCATGAACCTTTCCCACTGTCCTTTCCTTCTTTAGAGAGAATAACATCAGAAAAATACAAGTATTTCTATCATATTTTCTGATGTTTAACATCAGACTGGAACTAGAAAGATTAGCTTTTAAGAACCATGGCTGTGCTTACTCCCACCTTTCCCCTCGCTCAAGGTTCAGTACGATGAATCTCCTGGGTCAGAGAAAGACAAGATATACACGTGGGACCTGGCACAGTGACGCAGTGGCCCAAGTCCTCACCCTGAACGCACTGGGATCCCATATGGGTGTCTGTTCTAATCCCAGCAGCTCCACTTCCCATCCAGCTCTCTGCTTGTGGCCTGGGAAAGCAGTTGAGAATGACCCAAAGCTTTGGGAGCCTGCACCTGCTTGGGAGACCTGGAAGAGTTCCTGGCTTCAGACTGAAACAGCTCCGGCCATTGTGGCCACTTGGGGAGTGAATGATTCATCTGAGAGAGGATCTTCCATTCTGTCTCTCCTCCTCTCTGTATAGCTGACTTTCCAATAAATAAATCTTTGGATACAGAGAGGAAGATCTTCCATCTGATGATTCACTCCTCAAGTGAGTGCAACGGCCGATGCTATGCCAATCCGAAGCCAGGATCCAGGAACTTCTTCCAGGTATCCCACACAGGTGCAGGGTTCCAAGGCTTTGGGCCGTCCTTGACTTCTTTCCCAGGCCACAAGCAGGGAGCAGGATGGAAAGTGGAACTGCCGGGATTAGAACTGGTGCCCATATGGGATCCTGGTGCGTTCAAGGTGAGGACTTTAGCCGCTAGGCCATGCCGCCAGACACAAAATAAATAAATCTTTAAAAAAAAAAAAAGGCATACACATGAAACCTATACTAAAGGGGACAGGAAAAAAATTAAACCTGAAGGAATGAAGGCTGTAATAATTAGACATCTACACTGGCAGCAGAATGAGTAAATAGCATTTTAGCAACAAATGGCAAGTAAATAATATATAAGAACCAAGACCTAAGTAAAAGCGGTCAACAAAGCATTAAAGAAACAGACATCAAAGATTATCCTGCAGGGGGATAGCTAAAATTTAGCAAGGCTTGTATAGGTAGCAAGAGGCAAGAAACAGTAAGTAACATGAAACTAAAAGTTACAAAAAAAGACAAATGAAACAACAGAGAATTCTGGGGGAGTGAGGATTTGGTCCAGTGCTCTCTGCTTGTGGCCTGGGAAAGCAGTAGAGGACAGCCCAAAGCCTTGGGACCCTGCATCTGTGTGGAGACCTGGAGGAAGTTCCTGGCTGCTGGCTTCGGACAAGTACAGCACTGGCCATTGCAGTCACTTGGGGAGTGAATCATCAGACCGAAGATCTTTGTCTCTGACTCTCCTCCTCTCTGTGTTTCTAACTTTGCAGTAAAAAAAAAAAAATCCTTAAAAATAAGATGAACTAGAACTAAGCTAAAGAAAGCCTGAATGTAAAATTCAAAATTTGTGAAAAGTAAACCAGAGAACCTGGTGCCCAGTTTGTATTCCAGTTGTTCCACTTCTCATCCAGCTCCCTGCTTCTGGCCTGGGAAAGCAGTCAAGGATAGTACAAAGCCTTGGGGCTGAGCTCTGGCCATTGCAGCGACCCGGGGAGGGGGGCGTGAACCAGCGGATGACAGATCTGTCTCTCCTTTCTATAAATCTGACTTTCCAATAAAAATCATAAATTAAAAAGTATACCCAAAGTTCAAAGTTAAATAAAATCATTGCCCATGAAATTAAAATTCCAGCCAAAATATCTAAGCAAATACAGGAGCTATACTTACAGTTACACTAGTTTCAGAAAATGATGCCATAATAAATCATATAGTAATAATGCTTTTATGATCCACATTCAAGTTGGGTAAACTTGAAGCTCTGACCTACACTTAATAGAACAAATCCACATCTGGATACCATAGTCTGAACATGTCCTCATCATGCAAATGAGCTGTAAGTGGATCTTTTTTACAGACACCTAGGTCAAAATGGCTCCACCCTCATGACTGGATTAACTTCACCAAAAAGGCGGCTTGTTGCTGTCTTTCACTTTTCCATACTCTACCATGTGAGGATGCCAAAAGAAGGTCTGCCCCATATAAAGACCTTCATCTTCCCAGGGTCTCCAGAACAGAGACACAGGTGTTGTTCATAACTTATCCAAGCACAGAAATTCTGTTACAGCAGCACAAAGACTAAAAGACTGGATGTAATTTAATTATCTTTTCTGTTCTCCGGCAAATGATCAAAATTCTCCTTTTTTTATTACATGTAACAAATAACAGTAACATTGAGTGCCTGAAATGTATTAGCTATGCATCAAAAATACTGTTCTAAACACAATCCTCAGTTAAGTGTTATTTTGCTATTTTAAAGATTAGAAAACTAAGCAGGGGCAATTGTGGTATATAACCAGTTAAGTCAAATCTGCAATACAAATGGTTGCTGGTTCCCAGACGCTCTACTTCTGACCCAGCTGCCTACTAATGCATTCAAAGAAAAGTAGCCAAAGATGGCCCATGTTCTTGGGATCTCAAAGCTAAACGGGAGAACTGAATGAAGCGCCTGGCTTCAGGCTGGTCCAACCCTGGTTGTTACAGCCATTTGGAAAGGTCTCTCAATCCAACCATCCATCCTCTGCAACTTTGTCTTTCAAATAAACAAGTAAATAAATAAATAAACATATATATATATATATGTATTATTCAAAATGTAGCAAACTGGCTTTGCTTTTCCTGGAAAACCTTGTCCTAACTAAGAACGAGAAACTTAAGGAAATTTATCCAAGGTCCGGGCATTATTAAATAAAAGTGGTAGAATCGAAATTCAACCCAGGAACCAGCACTGCTGTATATATAGCAGGATAACTACCAATTGAGACACACTCAGCCCCCAACAGAGCTGAGTTTGGTCCCTAGCTATTTTACTTCTGTACCGACACCCCACTAAGGCACCTGGAAAGCAGACAATGGCTCATGGTACCCATGTGGGGGACCTTATCAGCCTCAGCTACTGTAGTCATCGGAGGAATGAATTAATGAACATTAAGTGCTCCCTCTCTGTCATCTGTCATTTAAATAAGTTCATCTTCTCTTGCGCCCCAATATGGTAGGGTTAGTCTTGAGCCTACAGGGAGTAAGCAGGCTTGAGAACTCCCCAAATTCACATATTTTTTCATTTTGCCTCTAATTCTTACATGTCCAAAACAGGGAGCCATAGACACACCTTTGTAAGAGGGCTCAAATAAAACAATTTTTTTTCCAACCTACTCAGTTTGGTTCTTATACTATATACTTTCTCATACCCTAATGACTTTGAGATAACTCTGTATTTCAATGTTACTAGTGTCTTTCTCCAAATAAGAATGCATTTTATTTAACTTCAAACCACTAAGGTTTCATTAAGTTTGAAAAAGACAGGGAGGGAGACAGACTGTCCACCTACTGGTTCAGTACTCAGATGGCCACAATGGCTAGGGTTGGGCCAGGCAGAGACCTGAAGCCAGAAGATTCATCCAAAGTCCCTCGTTTAGATGGAAAGGCCCAAACTTGGGTCATTTTCCACTGCTTTTCCCAGACCATTAGCAGTGAGCTGGATCAAAAGTAGAGCAGGGTCCAGTGTACTAGCTAAGGGGCTAATTGTTCCCCTTGCATGTGCTGGGATCCCATGTGGGCACCAGTTTATGTCCTGGGTACTCCATTTCCCATGTAACTCCTTGCATTTGGCCTGGGAAAGCAGTAGAGGGTGACCCAAAGCCTTGGGACTCTGCACCAGCATGGGAGAACTGGAGGAAGCTTCTGGTTCCTGGGTGCAGATCAGCTCAGCTTCAGCTGTTGCAGCCATTTGGAAAGTGAACCAACAGACAGAGGACTTTTCTGTTTCTTATTCTCTCTGTAAGTATGTCTTTCCAATGAAAACAAATAAAGATCATTTAAAAAAAAAAAGATAACGCAGCTAAAAAGCTAGAATACCAATCAGTACTAATGGCATGCCAGCATGACAGACCGGCTTTATCCAATATACAATGCCAGCGGAGACAGAACTCTGGTCTCCAATTATCTGACTTTGCTTAATTTAATTTTATCTTTTTCCCAAAGGCATTATTTACTGCAAAAAGTATGTGGGAAAATGCACCATTCTCTCAGACTGAGTTGACACAGGATCATCCTATCAGTCAATCATATACCTTCAGGACTCCCAGAAGAGGAATTACTTACCAACTACAAAAGCAAGTCTATTTACTTCTTGATAGTTAAAGGAAACGTAAGATGGTCTTTAGACATTAATTTGCACAACTAATTTTTTAAATCAATGAGATCTTTAGAGTAACTATTATGTCTGTCATATTTCAAGCTCAGACCATGTATAAAATAGACTGCAGAAGTAATGTTACACTTTACAGAAGAAAACATTCTAGATAACTGGATCTGATTCTCTCACTTTCACAGAAAACTTGCCAACAGTAACAGGGTTAAAACAAAAGAATTTCCTAATAACCCTATGTTTAATATTTTATTAAAATGTGTTTTTACTTACATCCTGACTTAATGCCATGAAGCTCCTTTGCAATTCTTTTGCAAACTCCAAGTTATTTGTGACTTCCTGGTACTTGGATACGGCATCCTAAAAGGAAAGAATTAACTTTACTACAAAGAACCACAAAAGCAATTTCCTTTAAAATGTCAACAAAATTGTGTGACAGCAAGGAAGATGCACTTTCTGTACCCCTCTCCACCCAGGGACACAGGAGGGAAAATGGAATCATTTATCTCCCCCACCTTTCTCAACCCTCCATAACAGAAGCTCACATGGCTCTGCAACGCTCTCACCTTTGTGATAAATATAAAATAAAAAAATATTTAAAAAAATCTTTAGGGTGGGAGTTTGGGGAAAATTCCAAATAAAATAAAATTAAAAAAAAAAAATCTTTACCAGCTGATCTTGATTAAGTCTTTCCCCTTTGATCATTCGTTCCTGGTAATCATCCAGCTTGCCCTATAGTAAAAGAAAAAAATAATTACTTTCCATTCTAAAAGTATATACGAAATTAATCATACTAAGCCGACAAAAACCATGTGATCTCCTGAGTCAGTCTCAAATTCTGTCTCATAAGATACACTTAGTGTGTGAATTATAAAGGCCAGGCAAAGGATTTCTACCCTCAAGGTGAGAGCAACAATTTGGTCAGGATCCCGATTATATTCAAGTGGGCATATCAGACATCTACAATCTGTTAAGTGTTTGCCCTTCTCTCCTTCACTTTAGCGGTATGGTGTATTCCTCCTCAATAAACTCATCCCCACTGCCTTTGGTTGAATATATCCACTTATTTTGACTTGGATAAGATACTTCCAAGCAATCACACTACCTAGCTACGAGCAGTGTACAGTTTACTAAACTCTAGTTAAGATTACCTTTCTTGGCTAAGATCAAAACTCTCAAAGAACACCCTAACGAGAAATAAAATCCATGGCTAAGCCAACACCAAGCAGGCCCCGACTGCAAAGTCTCCCAGAAAGAAATTAACCTCACACTTGTGGTCAGTATGTATGTCAAGGCCAACAAACACCAGATGAAACAGGCTATCAAGAAACACTATGATATTCAAGTGGCCAGGATCAATACCCTAATTATTACAAGGAGAAGAAGGCATATCTGAATGGCTCACGATTGTGATGCTTTGTATGTTGACATTGGGAGTCATGTAAGCTCAATCTAGTAGCCAGCTCAACTTGAATACAGGCTTCCTCATAGAAAAAAAAAAAAAAAAAAAAGAAAAGAAAAAGAAAAAATGAGCTAAGATGACCAAGGCAGCTAAAAGTAACTGATATTGATGAAAGTATTCACTATTCTCAGTCGAACTATTTCACCACAGTAAGTCTCCAACTAAACGGGTGTAAAATTCAACTCTACTAGCTGAAAATAATAATTTTAAAAACACATCAATTTTTGTTTGAGGCCTGGCACTATGGCACAGTGATTAGACTAAGCCTTTGAGGCGCAGCGCAGTAACCTAGTGGCCCAAGTCCTCACTTTGCCTGCACTGGGATCCCATATGCGTGCCGGTTCTACTTCCAGAAACCCCACTTCCCATCCAGCTCCCTGCCTGTGGTCTGGGAAAGCAATCCACGACCGCCCAATGCCTCAGGACACTGCAATTTTTATGTGGGAGACCTGGAAGAAGCTCTTGGCTTCGGATTGGCTCAGCACTGACCATTGTGGTCACTTGAGGAGTGAAATCATCGGACAGAAGATCTTCCTCTGCCTCTCCTACTCACTGAATATGACTTTCCAATAAAAATAAAATAAACCTTAAAAGAAAAAAAAAGATTAAGCCTTTGATGCTGGCATCCATATGGGTGCCAATTTGAATCCCAGATGCTCTAAATCTAATTTAACTCCCCACTAATGTACTTGGGAAGGCTAGATATGCTAGAGACTCTGAGGGGAGTTCCTGGTCCCTGACGCCAACCTGACCACTCCCGTCATGCCACTGCAAGTTTAGCTTCTCTCTTCTATAACTCTGCCTTTCAAAAAAATTTAATATTTACTTATTTGACTCACAAGAATTAACATAAAGAGAAGGTGGAAAGAGATATTCCAGGTCTCACACATGGAGGCAGGGCCCCCAAGGACTTGGGCCACCCTCCCACATCTCTCCCAGGTTATCAGCAGGCACCTGTGTCAGAAGTTAGAGCAACTGGTCACAAACTGATACACCTACGGGTTGCCAGCACGTCAGGCAAAAGCTTAACCTACGAAGTCACAGCACCATTCCCAAAATAAATATTTAAAACACACACACAAAGAAAAAGATCACACATACTCATAAGGTAAGCCTAATCCCAAGTGTTAAAAGAGGTATTCAATCAGAAACAGCAAGGTGGCATAGTAGGCCAAGCCTCAGCATTTGGCACCAGCACTCAATGTGGGTGCCAGTTCATATCCCACCCACTCCACTTCTGATGTAGCTCCCTGCCAAGTGGAGGACTGCCCAAGTCCTTGGGCCCCTGCACCTGTATGGAATACCTCGAGCAAACTCCTGGCTCCTAGCCTCAGACTGACTCAGCTCTAGACAACTGCAGCCATCTGGAAAGTGAATCAGCAGAAGCAAGACCTCTCTGTCTCTCCTTTTCTCTACAACTCTGCTTTTCAAATAAAAATCTTAAAAACAAAAAACAACAACAAAAAGATAAGTGCTCAATTACCTCAGAACATTCAAAGAATTAAAGAGATTATACTACACATGATTTTTTAAACATACTGGCAACTAAATCTAGACATTAATATATACTAAGTGTATTGAATATTCTTCATGGAAGTAGTTATACACATTAAAACTGTCAACTTCCTAAGAATTATAGGTTACTATAATAATTAAAAACGCACCTGTTACAATTATAGTTAGAAATGATTTCCTTCTACTGTTCTGTATATCTACAACATAGTATGTATAAAAAATAGAACTTTGAGGCCAGCATAGGGCTGGAGAGTAAAGTCACTGCCTGCAACACTGGCGTCCCACATGGGCACCAGTCCACGCCCCAGCTGTCCCACTTATGACTCAGCTCTCTTCTAATGGCATGAGAAAAGCAGCAGCAAATGACCCAAGTGTTTGAGCCCCAGTTCCATGTGTGGAGACCTGGAAATTCCTGGCTACTGGCCAAACCTTAGCCATTGCAGTCATCTGGGAAGTAAACCAGCAAATGGTTATCTTTCCTTTTCTATCAATTTTTTCAAAACAAAACAAAAAAAAAAACAAAAAAAAAAAAACACACAAATCTTTTGGGGTCCAGCACCATGGTGAAGTAGGTTAAGCCTCAGCCCGTGGTACCCTCAGGCACTGGTTCAAGCCCTGGCTGCTCCATTTCAGATCCAGCTCTCTGCGAACATGCCTGGGAAAGCAGCAAATGACAGCCCTAGTCCTTGGGACCCTGGCTTGGTCTAACAGCCATTAGAGCCATGTGGGGAGTGAACCAGTGGATGGAAGATCTCTGTCTCCTCTCTCTCTCTCTCTATATATATATATATTTTAAAGATTTATTATTTTTTTTATTAGAAAAGCGGATATACAGAGAGGAGCAGGAGATACAGACAGGAAGATCTTCCGTCCAATGGTTCACTCCCCAAGTGACTGCAAAGGCTGGAGCCTCTTCCAGGTCCTCCCACGCGGTACAGGGTTCCAAGGCTTCGGGCCATCCTCCACTGCTTTCCCAGGCCACAGGCAAGGAGCTGGATGGGAAGTGGGGCTGCTGGCATTAAAACCAGCACCCATAGGAGATCCCGGCATATTCAAGGTGAGGACTTTAACCATTACACTATGCTATTGTGCCGGGCCCTCTCTCCATGTATTTGTCTTTCAAATAAAAAAATAAATTTTTTGAATAATCTGTTCAAATCTTTTCAAAACATATAAATAAAAAACTAAATTTCCCATGCCACATAAAGTATGTTAAGATAAGGATACTATCGGAAGGACTTAGTTATTCGATGATACAAAAGCTCCAATTTTCTACACATAATGAATTAACTATACATCCTCCTGGAGAGCACCGCAGAACAGATCATATTTCCACAGAAGTGCTATTCATTTGCAGCCTCATACATTGTTCTAGAATGTGATCCTGACATTCCTCAGAATCGGTTCTGGAATGGTCACTTGGCACAGTGGTTCACATACTAGCTTGGGACACCCCCATCCCATGTTTGGAATGCCTGGGTTCAAGCCCCAGCTCCACTTACAATTCCAGCTTCCTCATTTTACACAACCTGGAAAGCAGCAAGGGATGGCTGGCTCAATAGCTGGGTCTGTCTCCCATGTGGCAGTCCCAGGTTGTTCCAGACACTTGTCTTCAGTCTGGCCCAGACCCAGCTGTTGAGAACATTCACAAAATGAACTCACAGATGGAAGATCTTTAAGACTTTCAAATAAAACAAAACAAACAAACAAAAAAAAAAACAAAAACCAAAACAAAACAAAAAAACAACAACAATAAAAGCTTTTTAAATAAAAGAACCCAAGGCTAATGCTGTGGAGTAGCATGTAAAACTGCTGCCTGTAGTGTCAGCAACCCATACAGGCAAAAAATCCTGGCTGCTCCACCCTCCAGCTCCCTGCTGGAAAGCAGGAGGACGGCCCAATGCCTTGGGACCCTACACCACATGGGAAACCCAGATAAAGCTGGCTTCAGATTGGCTAGCTCAGCTCTGGCTGTTGTAGCCACTAGGGGAGTGAACCAATAGACAGAAGATCTTTCTCTTTGTCCCGCCTTCTGCCTTTCCAATAAATAAAATCTTAAAAAAAAAAAAAAAGCTGCACAGTCCCCATGGCCCATAAAAGCCATATTCTTTTTTTTTTTTTAATTGGAAAGGCGGATATACAGAGAGGAGCAGGAGATACAGACAGGAAGATCCTCCGTCCAATGGTTCACTCCCCAAGTGAGCACAACGGCTGATACTATGCCAATCCGAAGCCAGGAGCCACTTCCGGGTCTCCCACGCGGTGCAGGGTCCCAAAGCTTTGGGCTGTCCTCAACTGCCTTTCCAGGCCACAAGCAGGGAGCTGGAAGGGAAGCGGGGCTGCTGGGATAGAACCGGCGCCCATATGGGATCCCGGGCGTGCAAGGTGAGGACCTTAACCACTGCGCCACCGCGCAGGGCCCAAAAAAGCCATATTCTTATGCTTTATATGCCAGTAACTAAACCTTGCATGTGGAGCCCTGAGCCATCACAAGAAATCTACTACTCCAAGCCATGAGAAAACCAAACCATGCAAAAAGAGTTCATAGAGGTGCTGTGGTCAGTACTCCCAGTGTCAGTGTCCAAGTCATTTCTGTCCAGGAATCAGACACATGAATCGACAAAGCTCCATTTTCCCAGTGAGCACTCGGATATCAGGGAACAGATATCAACACTGCTGTGTGCCTTGCCAATCCCTGAAGAGAATTCGCATAAACAGGATAATGATGGTTTTAAACTCTTACATTTTAGATTAA